ATTTTGAAATTTAATTTGTAAACTTCCGTTTTTAAAAAAGTAATTTTTAAAAAAATTTAAAAAAAAAAAAACGAAAACTGGATTTTTTTTTTAAAAAAACAAAAAAAGTAGTCACGGGCTTATCCGTGACTATTATTAATCCGAAATTATTATTTTTTTAAATAAAAAAATAATTAGTCACGGTCGACAACCGTGACTAATTTCAAAATTTTAAATTACCGCCGCGGGCGGTCTTTTACTCAATTTGAAAATTTGAAATATTAGTCACGGTCCAAAGCCGTGACTACTAAAATTAATTTTTAAAAAAAAACTTAGTCACGGTTTCTGACCGTGACTAATACGCCGGAGTGGGGTTCCGGCGGGTATTATAGTCACGGCTTCTGACCGTGACTAGTCCGTGACTAAATTTAGTCACGGTCCGTTGGACGTGACTTCAATTTAGTCACGCCCATTAAGTCACGGATTTAGTCACGGCCAGCGACCGTGACTACATCATTTAGTCACGGAAAAATTGAACTGCTGTCCGTGACTAAGTCCGTGACTACGACCGTGTTTTTTTGTAGTGTAACTTTAATAGCTCATGTACATATTTTACATGTATCATAAATATATTAATGAACTTATATTAAAGAACTCACGGAGTGTGCGAATAACAGTGCAACACTGCTCTTCTTTTGAGGAAGATTACTCAATGCGCTCTCCTTAGAGCCTGATTGAGGCGCCTCCCAACAAAACCACTTGTGCCTCACACCAATATGGAGAGGATTATAATTAAAAATTGTCCTTTTGATGGAAATAAGGAGTTCTTTAAGCAAATGGTATCATATGCATACGAATTATCACTATAAGAGACGTACATAAATGAAAGCTTAAAAATTATAAACCTTAAATAATAATATAGTTAAGAATGCAGATGACCATTAAAATGTTCAAGTGATGAAAGTACGTATTACTATACTTCTCTAGCTCTTTGCACTGGATACATTTGTGCGACTTCAGTAAAACGGTCCACCACTTATGCATGATAATCTCTCTTAATTCCTATGTACAACAGTTTTGTAAAATAAAAGATGATGACTTAATTATTGACTTACTTGTTGATTTATTATTGAAATAGGGATGAATATTAACTATAAAATATTCATTTGTATAGAATAGAATTTTGAGTATGTGCCTAAAAAACATTGTCACGTTCCTTTTTAAAGTAATAAATTTGTAATTATCCTTGTTTCTCTCTTCTGCACTCAACTGCACAATTTATACTTTTTTATTCTACACAAATCAAAGTAGGCAATGTTGAGTGAGACTGAGAGATTAAATCATTTTGAGAAGATACCCTTATAAATTGGACTATATTGAATAAATCATATTTGGGAATAATATTAGAAGAACCTTTGTTGGCCTTATTGGAGATTAGCATCACCCTTTGATTCAGGGTTTAACCGCTCAACCTGTTGGCACCACAAAGTGGTGCAGGTAGGCTGCACGGTGCAGCCCCTCATGTCCATCCACCACTCAGTAGTGGGGCTTTGCACTGGCTAGTGAACTATGGGGGTGCCTCACATGAATCTACCTTGACTTGGGGACTACAGAGTAATAAGTTAAATAGAGGGTGTCCACTTCCTTATCACCAATTGGTTTTAAGAAAGATATGACTGTTATTTAACCACAGAAGTATACAGTTAAGCGAGCCCGTGGTAAGAAAACCCAATGATGGGTGACCCACTAGGAAGTTTGTCGAAGGGGTAAATCGATCCAAACCTTAATAGTAAGATTAATGGTGTGAATTTTTCTTTTCGCATAACAGTAAAAAGATGTCAATTGTACATTTATTTGTTACTCCGTACATTTTTAGTACATCTTGCGTGATATACATATATTAGGTGATAAAAAAATTCTCTCCGTTGCATTTTGGTTATCTTATTTTCCTTTTTTGGATTGTCTTTAAATGAATGTCCTGTTTTTTTTTATAAGAAATATGTAGTTCATATCATTTTAGTTTATTATACTCAAATCTCAATCACAAATTTTACTTTTTAATTACTTTATTAATAATTATGTCTCCAATACATTCATTAAGGATCGGAGGTAATACAAATTTTCAAAAATGAATTCATACACACCGACAAAAGTGTATCGAATGTAACAAAATGTAGTTAAATTTATTGTACATCTGATTCTATTAAATGAAACTAAAAACATTTGAAGACCTCGAAGTTGGGGCTAGAAAGAATAAATGAAGTGCAAACTTTAGTTTTGATAACCAATTACAAATGTACACAAGTCAATATACTACGTTCCGTCAAAAAAAAAAATCAATATACTACGTAATTACGTATATGCTTTGCATATCCAAAGTGAAAAGAAAAACAGAATAAATCAAAGAAAAAAAGTTGGATTCAAAAGCAAATACCCTGAGCAAAAATCATGGATACCTTCAATCTCCTCCCACACTTCAGACTAAAGAAACGACAAGCGTGAGATACCATCCTGATAAAATCTTATCTCCTCCGCTATCATCTTTTTTATTTTCGCTTTTCCTTTCTTGTCTCTCATTTATATTTTGGCTGTGTTTGCGAGAGCTTCTTAGAAGCACTTTTGAGCTTTTGATAAAAAAAGTCAAAATGGTGTTTGCCAAATGTAGCTTCTACTTATTTTAATCAGATTTACGCCAAAAGCTAGAAGCGGCATTGTGGTTGCTTTTATCTGCTTCTTAATAATTTGGTAAATAAGTGTAACTTGGGGGAACATTTCATTTACAAGATGGAGGTGTATATTCCGCTAATGTCCTTCCTTAGTCCCCCTCTGTTCTAAAAATCGTTCTAGGCGCCCGACTAGTCCCCGCCTAGGCGCTAGGCGGTGGTCGGGCGCCCTGATTTTCGTCTAGGCGCTCCGACTAATTAGTTTTCCGTCTAGGTGAATTAGTCAGCCGCCTATGGCGCCTAGTTGCCCGCCTAGAGCGCCTAATCAGCCGCCTAGACCGTCTAGATTCGGTGAACATTTCTTCACTTTTTAATTTTAATTTTCTAAGCGATATACATATTTTAGCTTTAGCAATGGATATAAGAAAATGAAGTTGTAAATTAAGATAAAATTATATAGTTTGTATATATACCTAAATTTTATCATTATTTATATTTATAACATAATGAAGTTAAGTGATTAGTTATCATACACCACGTCTGATTAAATGTGATAATTCTATCATTCATGTTTGTTAATGTATATGTATATATGTATTTTATACACACAAAAATACAATATTACATATTATATTTATGCAAAATATAGATAAAAATGCAATTTTATGTTTCCGACTAATCCCCGACTAGGCGCCCGCCTAGCCACCTAGGCGCTAGGCGTTGGGCTGGCGCCCGACTAGCGCCTAGCGCCTTTTAGAACATTGGTCCCCCCCATCTCGCATCACTCATCGATGAGGAAAGAAGATTCTTCTCCTCCATAAAATTCCAATACTCCATGTCTTCTCCCTGAATCTGCGCCGCAGCTAAGCAAGGTTGGAAGTCGGCGCTCCAATTGAAAATTGAAGATCCGTTGTTGTTCATTCGCTCAGGTCAAGGTTTGTATGAAATGAATTTCTAATGCTCGATACTAAAAGGACATTGGTTTCTATGTCACATAAAAGGTTTGTATTGAGCATCCGATCTATTTAGTTGAGTATTAGGAGTGTAATTAACTAATTTTGAGCATCGTGATCTCTGCTTTGAATCTTGTATTTCATTTTTATTTTGTTACGTTTATAAAATTTTCATAAATTATATTTATAATAAACTTCTAATAGGAATTTCAATATGCGAATCTTTAATATTCCATATTATATTTTTGAAATATGCATTGATATAAAACACAAAGCTCTGCAAGTATCGAAACATTTTCATTGAGTATCAAAACTTCTCTATTAAGCATCGGAACTTTGCAATTGAGTATATAAAAATTGAAGACCTCATTTGAGCATGAAACATGTCATTGAATGTCATGTTCTCTACTACTGAGCATTGAAACTATGTGAGGAATCTCCAATCTCCAATCTCCAATCTGACCTATGGTAAATGCACGATTTTCGTCGCTTAGGACTTAGGAGGAGTTAGTGAGTAGCAGCAAGAACGTCTTTTACAAGACGAGCGTCTAGCCTTCTGAATGCGAATGACGAGCCATCCATATTGGTGCGAGCTGCAAGCCATTCGTCTGGGTGCTCGCAGTGAGCCGTTTGTTTATGTCAACGGTGGTGAGTAGGAAACGCAGTGGCATTAGCCAATAGGCGACAAACAGCTTGTTCAATACTTCAGCGAGCACTGTTAGGAGTGCGATTTAAATACCCGATTGTACCATTCACATGATACAACCGTTTGTACAATAAAATTTGTGCCCCATTTTCATCCTTTTTTTGTTTTTCCTCTTTGCCAATTGAGATTTGGATATCCAATCAAAATTGGACCCCCGTTTATTCTGTTCTTCATCCCCCTTTCCTCTTCTTTATAATTTTGTTTTCTAACCGGTGGGCGTAGCTCAACTGGTAGCGAGGGAGTGCCACAAGGGTTAGGTCTCGGGTTTGAATCCCGACAACTGCGATGAGGGGTTACTATGCTGAATAATGCATAGGGCTTCTGCAAGTACCGGGGACAGAGGCTCACTCTCTATCTGTCAGATTGTGATTATAGTCGAATTTACATCCTCCCATCGTGCCGTCCGGTCGGTGTTGGGGATGGAGTGCCATTCTTTTTTTTATATAATTTTGTTTTCTACTTTATCATACTCCCTATTTAAGTTCTCATTTTCTTTTTTCGAATGTCCGATACAAGTTCACACTTTTCTTATTTGGCAATTAAATCTATACCAAAACAATGTCAAACGATGTTCAAACAGTGACAAATAGTACATTCCATAGTAAAATGAATTTTATTTTCTTAATCTGTGTCAAGTTAAATAGAATAGTGAGGTAGTACATTCCATTTTTCTCATTTTGATAAGAGCCGTTGGGTGGGAGCATTTCCTCACAAAAAATGTCATCTTTCTCATTTATAGAGGACCGAGTCCATCAATCTCTCAGTGCTTGACTCTTGGACAGCCCAAACTGCACACTACCAGAGGGAAAGCAAAAAAAGCTAGACAGAATAATACTCCGTATCCGATATGAAAATGGAGGAAAGGACCACTCTCGATCACCCTACGACCCTTTTCCGGTTTCTCGTTTCTCCACAATGACCGATCTCCAACCACTCCTGCTTCCAGAAACATGGCAACCCATCCGCCATTAACGTCGTTAGATTCCCTCTACTGCGAAGAGAGATGGGATGAAAGCTCAGAGCTTCGTGAAATTACCAGAAACACCCCTCCCCTTCTCCTCCCTACGGTCTTTTCTCTGGCTCAGGACATGATGGTATGGGAAGAAGACGACGAACTTCTCAGCCTTTTCTCCAGAGAAACAGAGACCCACTTAACCTCTGACCCTTCTCTGTCTCTTCCTCGTACGGCGGCTGTCCGGTGGATTCTCAGAGTCAATGCCCATTACGGATTCTCAGCGTTGACTCCAATCCTGGCCGTTAACTACCTTGACCGGTTCCTCTCCGGTCTGACTTATCAAGAAGACAAGCCATGGATGATCCAGCTATCATCGGTCGCCTGTCTCTCCTTAGCTGCAAAAGTAGAAGAAATTCATGTTCCTCTACTTCTTGACCTTCAAGTACGCATTCTCAAACCTTATAATCCTTAGAATGATTTATGTTAAAGCCGGGTTTATTCTAAAATATCAATTTAGGATGTTTGGAATTCATTATACTCCTCTTTCAAGAACGAAAACAGAAACAGAATCAGAATCAATTTTTCAATTTTTCAGAAACATGTGTGTTCCAATTTCTAAAAAACTATTTCTATGAGCAATTTGAAGTACTAGAAGTACTTCTCTGCTTTCCTGCTCCAATATCTATTTCTGATATGAACGATCAGAAGCACTTTTAGATGTAGATACAAACACACAATTTAGGGGTGTTTTGAATTGATTCAGCTTCTTCTTTTGAAAGAGTTTAGGGTTTATTATTGTCGGAATCAGAATCAATTTTTCAGAATTTTAATATTTTTATCTTTCTCATCATTGTCGGATTTTATAGCTTGAATATTTGTCTCTTTTATATTCTTATCTTGTTTGTAGTCTTATCTTTGAGAACCTTCAAAAATTAAAGGGAAAATGGAAACTAATAATCCAACCTTTTAGCGGTCTTCTTTCAATAATCTCACTTTTTGATTATTCATGAATAATCCAACTTTTACACCTCATCTTCATTCACTGGTCCCTGACCGGTTGATGACGTGCTATTCCAAGCTATTTTCTTATCTTTGCAAATCATTATACCATAAATCTCATCTTTCGCAAAGATAATATTTTGCAAAGATAAGAAAATAACTTGGAATAGCAAGTCATTAACCGATCAGGGACCAACAAATGAAGATGAGGTGCAAAGGTTGGATTATTCATGAATAATCAAAAGGTGGGATTATTGAAAGAAGACCGCTAAAAGTTTAGATTATTAGTTTCCATTTTCCCAAAATTAAATGGTCTCTCTTGGTTTCAAAAAAACTACTTTTAGGAATAATTTGAAGTATGAGAAATACTTTTGCAGTGTCATTCAAAGAAAGACTCTGATATCTGTTTCTGAAGTAGCAAAAGCATATTCTTGACTATATCAGAAGCTTATAAGTATAGAATGTGACTCAAATTTATTAGGTGGAAGATGCAGAGTATGTGTTTGACTCAAAAACTCTACAAAAGATGGAGCTTTTGGTTCTGACGACGTTAAATTGGAGAATGAATCTGGTGACGCCGTTATCTTTTCTTGATCACATCATAAAAAGGCTGGGGTTGGATCATAATCATCATCTCCGCACAAGATGCGAGAGATTGATTCTGTCTTTCTTGCCTGGTAATCATTTGATTTGATCAAAGATCCGATCTTTGGATATTAACAAGAACACCCACATTGTGATTAAGTTTTCTTGATTTGATTTTGATGTTTTAAATTAATGTAATCTGTGTTTATGTTTTAATTAAGATTCGAGATTCGTACGTTATCTGCCGTCAGTGGTGGCCATTGCAAGTATGCTTCACGTTATACATGAAGTGGAGGCCAGCGATGCGGTTGACTACCAAAACCAACTCTTTTCTGTTCTTCAGACGAGTAAGGTATGTATTGTGGGTCTATTTATTGACAAAATTTCCTTTTGCACACGTTCTTATACCCATTAGTACACGCTTGTGTCTGTGAGAGTATTTTTTTGTCTGTGAAGCGCAGTCCACAGACATAAATTGGCTTGTTTTGTCTGTGAAATTTTCCACAGACAAAACAAGTCAGCTTTTGTCTGTGGACTGCGCTTCACAGACAAAAAACAACTCTCACAGACACATGCGTGTACTGATGGGTATAAAAACGTGTACAACAAGAATTTTTCATTTCTTGATAAGTCAATAATAAGGGCTCCTTTTATTATCTCATTACATCATTTCGAATTTGCTTTTATTGTTTACTACTAGTAATTTGTTGTACTTTCCTAATAGAATAATTCAAGCTTCGGTTGGATTTGCGAAACACAAAGTCGCAAACCGTAGTACAATTTGAACTGTGAAAGCAAACGAAATTGAACAGAAAAACCAAACTGAATCACTGTTGTTCGATTGTGGGTTCGGTTTCTACCCCAGAAAACGAATCAAATTTTTCAAACCAAACGTTCACATTGACGCAGTGGACGCACTATTTATTTGGAGTTCAATGAGCCAAACTCCCAAATTTTTGTTGGCTAAAGGGTCAAATAGGTACATGAACCAACTTAAAGTGTTCAATTAGCCCCTTATATAGGAGGTTCTGCCCGGCCGTCGCCAATTGGGGCGGTTCCCGGTGGAATTTTTTGATGAATTCTTTTGAGAATCTTCTTCATTAAGTCTAGTTTACTCATACCAAATTTCAGCTAAAAATTCAACCGGAAAGGCAGTCAAATGATTTTTTGAAGATAGCTGCACAGTTAAACAGCACAGTACATTTCGGAAAATCATTTGACTGCCTTCCCGATATAATTTTTAGCTGAAATTTGATATGGGTAAACTAGACTTAATGAAGAAGATGCTCAAAAAATTTCATCAAACAATTCCACCGGGAACCGCCCCAATTGGCGACGGCCGGGCAGAACCTCCTATATAAGGGGCTAATTGAACACTTTAAGTTAGTTCATGTACCTATTTGACCCTTTAGCCATTTTTGTTTACCCATAATCTAGCTAATAATTAATTAACACTTTATATGTTTTTCTTGAATTGATTTTTTTGTTTTGTTTTTGAGTGTAAAAGAAAGAATGTTTGGCCATCTCCAACAGTTTTCACCATTTTTGCCACTAAAATGGTGTAAACATCACATCATATAGTACTTTATCTCTAACAGATTACACCATTTTCATCACTAAAAGGGATATTCTTTTTTTTATTCTTTTTACTAACTTTTTACCATTATTATATTTAATTACTTAATTATCATATATTTATACATTAGCCCCTCATTTAATATGTATTTTGGCATTTCACTAAATGTAAATTTAATTATGTTATTTTCTTATGTATCATTTGTATTCTGTCATTATGTTGTTTCGATTTGAAACTTTATTTATAATATTGGGTGATTTAAATTTTATTACATTTTTTTTTATCAAATTTATAATTTCAATTTGTTGTTCTATCCAGTTTTAATTAACTTAACGATTAGATTATGAAAGGAAAATGTGTTGGTCCGATCCTTATAGACAGTACACAACCGTGGCTTCTTAAAGCATCCTAAACAAAATGGGTCAAAACTGTAAAAGCTCAACACTTTGGGTCCTTTTTGAAAAAACAAAACATAGAAAAGAAGAAGATAGCACATGCTATTCCTTGCGCCATATATGGCGTAAACCAAACCCTCCCCCCATTTAGTGAAATGGTGATACATTTGGTGTAATTCTTGGAGCAAAAAATGGCAAATCCTCTATTTTGATGTAAGATTTGGTAATTGTTGGAGATGGTGTCAGTGCGTTACTGATGTTAATTTAGGTACACCCCCAAGATAACTATATGCTTTTAAAATTGGTTGTGGGTTTGCTCAGTTTTTAGATTTTATCAACACTTTCATATTTATTCGTTATAGTTTTTGAGTTTTGTTTGGGGTACACAAAATGCGTACACATGTTTGTTCTTTACAGAAATTTTGTCTGTCACAGACAATTCAAATAACAAAATTTATGTGAAGAACAGACATGTGTACACATTTTGTATACCCCAAACATTTTTCATAGTTTTTGTTTTACCAAAGAAGTGAATTAACCTAACCGCTAGAAATGAATTCACTAACAACGGTTCTAGATCGACAAACGTGGACAAAGTTAATTGACAGGGAATCCACCCACTAATTGAAGCATTGACAACACATTAATGGTTACATTATTTTACTCTTCTCTTCATATAGTTTTATGACTTTTATCCTCCGGAGTACCATTATTACGTTCTTATCCTAAAACCCAAGTTTCTTTCAAAAAACAAAATCCGAAGACCCAAGTTACACTCAAAATCGTCTTAATCTAACCCAAATTTAAATTCCAAATAAGGTATAGAGGAGGCCGGTAGAAATATTAATTTAACAAAAAATAAAAATGAGCCGGTGATATAAAGAGATATGAATTAAGATGTTTTTACTTGGACTGTAATTTGTTGATCTGGTCTGATATGTTTAAGTCTGGTCTAGTAAATATCTGATCTCTATGTATTTTATAACTATGAAAGTCTAGTCTGTAAGTTTAAGTCTAGTCTAGTCTATTTAAGTCTGGTGTGTTTAAGTTTGGTCTGAAACTAAAAACGGTCCAATTAAAAACATCCTTTGTATCTTTTTTAGGCTAGACTTTTTAGCCTTTTGCAGTAAAAAAAGATTTTGTAGCCTTTTATATTATCTGTTCAATGTTCAATGTCAATATTTCTCACTGGAATGAGTTTCGAACATGGGGAATCATAGTAGGGGCCAGAGTGGGTTCCAACCCATCACAACCCAATTTTTTTTAATTATAGGTACAGATTTTAAATAAAGATTGTTGTTCAGCTCAGTCCCAAAAGAATTAAAAAAACAAACTAAGTGAAAGTCTTAATGATCAATTTAAAATGTGATCCATAATTTATTCCTTGTAGTATTTTAATCCATCATAATTTCATATACAATTGAATATTAGAGAATAATTTCATATACAAAAGTTTAACGTGTTAATGGTCATATATTATACATATAAAATTACCATTAAGACAATGAAATGAGTATTTATCTAATACAAAATGGAGCTCGAGTTTGGTTTGATAGACTTTCAGTATTTGATTGTAATGCTCTATACGTTCGATAAACATGCTCTAATGTGGAAGTTTAGACTATGTTTATTAATAGATTCATGCTCGAATTATTCTATAATTACTCGAATCTTTATTAATCATTAAAAAAAATTCAAAGCCACACTAAAAATGTTAAAATTTTAGAATATATATAATTTAATTTTATAATTTTTTAGTGATCAATAGGTTCGAGTCGATCTGGACCGAGCTGAAGATCACTATACTCGAACTCGGCTTGAATGACTGTTCAAACTAAAAAATTTGCTCATGTTCAAGTTTGACGCTCGTTAAGCTCAAGTTGTTATATTAGATTTAAAGCAAACTTGAACTCGAGTAGTTCAAAAAGTTTGGTCAGATAATAGTTTTAAGTTAAACCTTGTGTGTATTAATAATTTTCTTTACTAACCTCACCGCACCTTTTATTCCTAGATCCACCCCTTGTGTCGAACATGTAACCTTTAGGAGTGGCGTAAAGTCCAAAGTCCAAACACACAATTTTGGATTTTCAATTTTGGTGATTTTTTTAGATGAATTGAATATATGTAAGTGAAATATGAATTTTGGATTTTTTTAGGTGTAAATCACGTCTCTAGTGATTTCCCAACACAAGTTAACTTTAACATACAGTACAATTATTATGATGTCTTAGGAGACTGTAATTTGCTGGTCTGATCTGATCTGTTTAAATTTGGTTTGATTTGATTTGTTCAAGTCTGGTTTGGTCTATGATTAAAAACAGTCCAAATAAAAACATCATATAAAGTGGGGGAAAATAAATAATATACCCCGAACTTTGCCTTGGTGTGAGCTCCCCACCCCAAACTTGTCATAGTTTAAAAAATACCCCGAACTTTATTTATTTAATATTTTTGTACCATATTTTAATAAACAAATAATATTTCTCAAATTGTAATATTTTTATTAGATTTAGTTGGCAAAAAAAGATGTGTGATTCCCAAATTAATGTGTGCTTTTGGAATTGATTAAATAACTTCAAAATCTCTAATTTAAGTACAAAAAATATGTTAATTAATCTTTTTTTGACAACTAAATCTAATTAACATATTATAATTTGAGAAATATTATTTGTTAATTAAAATATGGTACAAAAAATTTAAATAAATAAAGTTGGGGGTATTTTTTAAACTAGGACAAGTTCGGGGTGGGGAACTCACACTAAGGCAAAGTTCTGGGTATATTATTTATTTTAGCCTATAAAGTGCCTATCAACCATTGCTTTTGGTCACTCTATAGCGTATTAATGGAACTCAGGGGTGGAATTAGAGTATTGGGCCAAATTAGGGTTGTACAAATAATTTTTTTGATAAAAAAATTACCAAATTTTTTACCTTAAAAATTAAGGTACTACGTATTTTTTAAATTCGGGATGAGTTAGAACCTACGTTTATCCTCTAGTTCCGTGCCTGCTTGAACTCATTCAGAAATGGTAAAGCTACACATTTATTTTTGTTGTTCTTACACACCTACAGACACACACAAACATGAAAACAATCATATTTGTGGGTTTCTGTGTGCGTGTTTTTAAGAATAAAATTGATAAAGATAAGTACTTGTGAGATCAATTATGAGCTTCTTTGAAGATCATATTTTTTGTGCCACACCAAACAACCACCAAAAAATTGCTGACCAAGCTGCCAGTTATTTATGTATACATCCATAACAACCATATATTAGTAATTTACTACGTTCGAGTATTTTGTATTTTCAAAATACAAAAAAGTAGTAGGAAAAATTGTCAATTTGGTGCTTGTAGTTTCATGAAAAAGTCAATTAGATTCTCGTACTTTTAAAAAGATCAATCAAATCCCCGAACATTGTAAGAACGTTCAATTGAGTCCATTTGCAGATTACTTGCCATGTCAGCAGGTCACCCGTTGATGTGGTGCAAATGTGGCAGCTCAGTCAGCATTTTTTTACTGGTGTGGCACACATGTGGAAGTCCAGCCAGCCATTTGCTGATGACGTGGCGCACATGTGGATGTCCATGTGTGCGCCACGTAATCGGTGACCTGCTGACATGGCAAGTGATTTTCAAAATGTACTCAATTGTTTTTTCTTTCAAATTTCTAGGATTTGATTCATTTTTTAAAGAAAGAGAACCTAATCGACTTTTTCATGAAAGTAGAAGGACCAAATTGACATATTTCTCACGTTCATTACTTTCTGATGGATCGTGTAACATTGTTGGTGGATAAAATATGTAAAAATGATTATCCGGTCAACTCCAATGTTCATTTAGAGCCCGTTTGGCAGCCCATTTTTTTGGCTTATCAGGCTTATCAGCCAGCTTTTTCACCAAACACGAACTATTGCTTTCGCGCGTTGAATTGTGTAATAAGCAGAAAAAGTAAGGTTGAAGTTACTTTTGTGACTGTATTGGCTGAAGTTACTGTGGATGAGTATTTTAGCTATTTTTACATATAATTTTTTCTTTATGTTATTAATAAAATATATTTTTAAAATATTTTTTTCTTAAATCAGCAGAATCAGCCAATGCAGCCACTTCAGCCAGAACTTCATACATTTCAGCAGAATCAGCCAAAACAGCCGATATTTGTGCTACCAAACGGGCTCTTATGTTGAATGCTGCAATGTTTTATAAACCTAAAGCTCGTTAGATGATTATATTATTCGATTCATCAGATTTATCACGTTAGATTATGGAATAATAACAAGTAGGGGTGGGCATGACATAATTGTTTGATTTAACCGAACCGAATCGTACCAAACCGAATTAAATCGACCTGAAACTGAACCGTATGCAATTTGGTTTGAGTTTGGTACTATTTCTTTCAAACTGTATTAAACCGAACCAAACCGAAATCGATAAAAATCGAACAAAACTGAACCGAACTACAGAAATTCAAAAAACCTTCATATATTATTCAAAATTAACAAATCCAAACCGAACTAAACTAAACCGAAAAATAGTACTACCTCTGTCCCCCTATTTAGGACTGAGCAAAATCCGAACCCACCCGCGAAACCCGAAGTTTTTTGCGGATAATACCCGAATCAAAAGTTGATATCCGACCCGAAAAACCCGAAACCGAAAATCCGATTAGTATTGGGCCTAGAATAGGTGGCGGGTAGGGTTTGTAAATTCCCAACCTGCCCCGCCCGAAATATCCGAAATATATATATTAAATTATGTAGTGTGTACTTTGAGTATGTTAAATTAATTATTGTGTTCAATTTTTCGTGTAATTATTTGTGAAATTTGAATGTGTAGTGCATTAGTGTGTACAATTTTTGTCAAAGTGGCATTCAAACACTTTAATTATCCAATTATATGTGTTTTAATATAACCGAAATATCCGAAATATATTAAAATATGTAGTGTGTACTTTGAATATGTTAAATTAATACTTGTGTTCAATTATTTGTGCAATTTGTGTTAAATTATTTGTGTAATTTGAATATTTAGTGTGTACAATTTTTGTCAAAGTGACATTCAAGATTTCAAGCACTTTAATTATCCAATTATAATGTTTTTTATTTTATTTTTATTTTTTTAATAACTGATCCGATAATATCCGACTTAAAAATATCTGAAATATCCGATTTGAAATATCAAAGGGTCGGGCCTAGTATTTAAATGAAAAAACCCGAACGGGTTTAGGGCACGCAGACCCAACCTGCCCGAACCTGACCCGTGCACAACCCTACCCCTATTATTGTCCCATTACGGTTTACGATGTTTGACCGATGATAAAACAATTAGATCCCTGTCTGCATTCAAATTATTTTTTGAAAAAAAGAATTACATGTTCAAAAACTACATTAAAAGTTTTACAAAGTCGCAAAAATCAGAATCAAATTTAAAAAAAATGATACATAATAAAGTAAGAAATTAAGAGTGATTTGTGTTGACCAAGTGTATAGGAACTGAGACAATAATAGAGGGACGAAAGGGAGTATGATTTTTGTCTTGTAATTCTTCCAACCCGTTCTAATTTCCATATCGAATTGAACCGAAACCGATAAAAATCAAACCAAAAACCGATATGCCCAACCCTAATAATAAGAAATAGCAAAATTACCATTACTTTTTTTGTTATATTGATTGAAATTTCTATAGAATATGATCGTAAGTATTTTTCATATAATTTTTTCAATCAACCAAAACTTCATATGCTAATTGAGCTCATTCATCCGATTTCACGATTACTAAATTCTTAGTAAAGTTCCACGACAAAATAGGGAGTAGATCAATGTTTGATAATTTGTTCACGTAAAAACAGGAAAAAGTGAACTCTTGCTACGAGGTGATGAGAGAGGTGTCAAAGAGTAGCCGCAGCGAGTGTCATCATCCAAGCAGTCCCAGTGGGGTTATCGATGCTGCGGCGGCTTTGTGTTGCACAGAAAGCTTCTCCGACTGGTGGGACACGGCGTCGCCGCCGCCAACGCCTCCCTTCAAGAAAATGAGATTTCAATGCTAAACAACCGACGTCAACGCTAGCTGATGTTATGTGAGGCCACGCGCCGCCGCCCGTCGGCGCGTGGATTTGCCAATTTTCTCTCCCTAAACAGTTCAGTTTAATTTTGTACTCCGTGATAATTTGGGAGTACGTATTTAATTGTATGGATTATGACTTTGATCGATTGAGCAATTAATGCATGCATGAAAGGGTGAATCCAGACTTGGTTTAATTTAGTTCGTCAACCATTAATGGCCGTTTAAATCCGGTTTCTATGTGTCACGATTAACGAATTGAACAATTTAACGCCAAGTTGGTTTCAACCTTTCATGCATCTCTTTTTTGTTTGGTGACAACAAGATTCAAAGACCAGCCAGCTTTATAAGTTGATCAATGTTTTTATCTGTACTAAAAAATTTCACTAATATTCTCAAAATTTCACATTGACAAAACAAAACATAATGAAGAACAATAAACAAAGCAATACAACTTTAAATAAAACGATGTAAGAATAGCTTAATTTTAATTAGCAATTGATGCGTAAAATGAAGTAGAATAATCGGGAGATGACAATCCTCGTCTTCGACTTTTCGAGGTGTCATACATTTATTATCACCTTTTTGAATTGGAGTATGAAGTCGTAACATACAGGGCTTAATATTCACATTCACATATTAAGCTATAAAAAGGAATAACATGGATACAAACACCCCGAAACACAATTTTAAATGTAATTTATACACAATGAACAAAAAAGAGTACTCCTGAATAGCTTACTCTTCTTTAATTTCTTTTCTTTTGAAATTAAAAGTTAGTAAAAATGTCACCACAATCAAAGTAGCTATACGTTTTTCAGTAAAAAGAAATTAACAAATAAATCGATAAACAATAAAAGCCAAATTAACAAATACAATTGTAAAGCTTTAGAGATAGAATTACTAATCAAACCATTATATATAAACACAAATAAAATGATAAAAAGTTAAATCTTGACAAAATAGATTAAAAAATATGCAAAACATATATGCAAAATAAAAAAACTTTTTACCGAAACACTAAACAAGTGCATACAATATTAAAAACTACATAATGACAAAATAAAACTTGGCATTCGGGCAGTAACCTACTTTACTTATAAGCAGATAAAAAACAAGAGACTAAGAAAGGTTTGAAACAGGTCATTAGTCATTCCTATTTACTCACACCCAATAATCCGGAATTCGTAATGAAGAATAGAAACCAGTACTCAGAAGAAGTCAATCCATCTTATTCGCCATTCTTGGGTCATCGATTGATGCCCGAAATCGTCGTGGGCCTCACAGGCTCACAGCCTCTTCCGCCATGTCGGCCCTCAGCGCTATGCCACTCTACCGTTCTGGGTATGAGAAACCGGGAATTGACTGATCGAATATTGCCGTCTTGCTAGATTGGAATTTGGAACTTGTAGATTTGGGAGGTAAGTATAATTGTCAAGGCTGGTCCTGAGAAAACACGGGCCCTGGACAAAAATAAAATGTGGGCCTTTTCTAAAAGAGGTAGAAATATAATATTACGTATAAGTGAAGATTATATTTGTAACAATTCGCTACAATAATAATTTATATCAAAATATAAGTTATTCACTAACATAATAGTTAAAATAAAAGTATTCCTTAACAAAGTACACTTCATTTATAATTTATATCAAAATATAAGTTATTCACTAACATAATAGTTAAAATAAAAGTATTCCTTAACAAAGTACACTTCATTTATAATTTATATCAAAATATAAGTTATTCACTAACATAATAGTTAAAATAAAAGTATTCCTTAACAAAGTACACTTCATTTATTTGTTAAAGCGGATTTTAAAATAATAGACTAATAACCTAATACTTGAACTTGGTGAATCACCAAGTTCAATTATTACAAACCATCCAAAAATAATTATCTACGTATTAAAGCATTCAAACTTGGAATCAATACCTAAAAAAAGAATAATATAAGAATTACAAAATACTCGTATAAGATATAAGATTATTACTCCATTTTCTATAAAACAAAAGAGAATAATCAAACCTAAAATTAGACCGTTTATCATTCCATTAATTGGAGAAAAAGCCATATCACATGGGTGTGTGTGGCTGAATTTTGGGGAAGAGCGTTCAAGCTTCGAATTGGAACACCCAAATACGCTATGTTGTTAAAACCAGATATTGAGGCAACTCAGACAAGCAATCAATACCGGACTTGGCAGGGTTGAGATGATTACAAATTAATATCAATAAGTAAAGTTAATATTAATAATTGTATGATATAAAAACGAAAATTGAATGAATGTTAGCATCCACCAATTGGTTGAGATGGCTTACAGTCTGCGTGCGTTAGAGAGTTGCCAGGGTTCGAAACCCCCAGGCTTGAAATTTTTAATGAAGCGTGGGAAAAACTATTAGGCTCTGAGTAGGTTATTATAGTAGGAGGACTATTAAAAATTGGGCCCTCCGGATTTATGGGCCCTGTGCGGTCGCACCGGTGGCACTTGCCTTGGGCCGGCCCTGATAATTGTTCACGGCTTACTGCTGGTTGGCTTCCCGGTTTCCACTTGCGTAAGGAACCAGAAAGTTTAAGAGATGTCCAATTTCCCATTCCCAAATACACATATTACATACTACTAAGGGATTTTGTCAAGAATATTACAAAAAAGTAGAGAATAGATAAAAAAAAAAAAAGTGACCTTTTGTTATCATTTCAAAAAATGTGACTAAAAATTGGTAAAGAGACCATGCCACCTTTACTAAATCAAATGACCTGTTACAGTGATCAATCCTACAGTGACTTTTGCTCAGTGACTAATTGACATGATGACTTCCTCACTTAGACGAGTTGAAACAGTGACTCCGGCTCAGTTACTAACGTCCATCCATTTAGTTACCAACGTTCACCCGTCCAGTGAACAATAGTCGCATGTCCAATGACTAACGTTCGCCCGTCAATGACCAATGTCCGCCATCGCCGCCCAATGACCAACAATGCCCTGGCCAGTGACCACCACCGTACCCAACCAGTGCATCCGCTGCCAACCACCTCCACCGACTACCACCGCCGCCAACCACTGGCCCACCCTGACTCGGTTTGCCCAACTCCTCCTTAGCCCCCAACTCCCTTGCAGCCCTAGCCTCCAGCCCTTATCCCTGCACCCTCGCTACCCCCAACTCCCAAGCTGCCATTAATCAGAAAGCCAAGCTTCGCAGCGTCACAGCCGATCACTGTCGTGGTGGCAGATCTATAGCTTGACGCCGCCGCCTCCGTTGAGTCAAAACCCTAACTTCCTGGATCTAAAGACGTAGGTGCTCTGCTGCCAACGATTCGAAAGCCCCCATTGCCTTCCTTCTTCTTTGATTTTGTAACACCGTCCCCAAATGTATTTACTTTCAAGTAAATGATGTAATAAACCTTATGGAATGATTTACGAATTTACGAAGTTGTAAATTTTTATTATTCTTTCGCGTGAATAGTAAAGTGCACGTGGGGCCCACACCGGGAGCGGGGGCCGCCCGACATTCCCGAGACCATATACTTTATTCATCTTGGTCTAGATAATAAATATATAGTGGTGAATATTTCATTTGGACCATGGAAAGGCCCAGAGTTGACCGATTCGTCAAAAGAAGCCCAAATTACCGGTACTGGTAATTTAACAGATATCAGCCCGAAAATGAATTTCGGAGACTTCTAAATCAATGTTTTGGAATATATATTATTTCAAAAGGCCATTACGATTGAGAACACGTAATATACTTTATTTTACCCGATAAAATAAAATATGATTAAAACAGTCCGAAAAATACAACTTTCGGGACCGATTGTACACCTCGGGGCATAAAGGGATGACCTCCCACATGAGTGGGGGCCATCCCACGTTTTTTTTCAGCTTAAATGTGACTCTTGGTGGCTGGCAAGACAAAGGAAGGGTGAGGAGTCTATCAAAGGTACAATGGGGGGGTCCATTCTCACATTATTTTGAGAGAAAAGCCAAAGAGGCTATCTCTTCACTCACCCACCCCATAATTTCGACCAAGGCACACCAAGAGAACAAGGAGACCTCTGCAAACTCATCTTCCAAAGCCAAAATTCGAGCTCAAGCCATAGGGTTCCAAGAAGGAAGATTAAAGAAGGAAAAAGCTAGGAAAAAGTGTGAAAATTAAGGTAATGACCTTATTATAACTTTTCCTTTATTTTTCTTCTATCATATGAGGTATATATCATATGAAGGACCCTTAGTATGATTCCACATGTTATAAGTATGGATTTATGGGTTGGAAAATGGTTCTAAGTCCAAGAACGGACTTAGAAGCCAAAACGACCGGTTCACCGGAAAATAACCTTTTTTGAGGTTATTTGTATTAACATGGGTTTTATGATTATAAAACCTTGTTAGGAACTTGTGAAAGGTATTTCAAGTGATTTCACAAAGTTGGAAAAGTCGCCGGAGTTGTCGCCGGAGTTGGCCAAAAGTCGCCGGAGTTCCACCGGAGTTCAACCAAGAAGGGTAGAACTTCATAACGCTAGTTCAAGGTGAGTGGACGGCTTAATATCTTATAACTTTTGGGTTAATTATAAGATTACCTAAATAAATGTTATAAGTGTTCATAATGATGTTTAAAAGATATTTAAACACGTGATTAGCCAACATAGTTAAGTTTGTATGAAAAGAATTAATTGTTTATACATGAAACATGATATGCACAAGAATTAATGATGATATGAGAAATAATATGAAATGCATATTTGTTGGGAATGTCAAAGAAGCACAAATGATTATTATTAACTTAATTATATGATGATTAAGTTGACATGTACAAGGCTTGAATGGCGGTCAACGACAACGTTGACCGATGGACAATGGATTAATTAATGTCGGTTGATATTAGTTAATTGTACATTTATATAATTGCATGGATTTGCATGAATTGTGATACATAAGTCTTATGTATTGAATTAGTTATGAGTGACTAAATATGATATAGACCCTATCTAGTGTGATATGTGGTAAGTCATAGGTCGGGTGGAGTACCCAAGGATCGGGCGGTTATCCTCAAAACTCGGTTATAGGGTGGAGAACCCAAGGATCGGGCGGTTATCCTCAAAACTCGGTTATATAGGGTGGAGTACCCAAGGATCGGGCGGTTATCCTCAAAACTCGGTTATATAGGGTGGAGTACCCAAGGATCGGGCGGTTATCCTCAAAACTCAATTATAGGGTGGAGTACCCAAGGATCGGGCGTGTATCCTCAAAACTCATAGATTACATTTAATGATCTAGGACCGGGCGGTGTCCTCATGATAATTTATTTGAACAAGGAGGAGTTCTATACACTCATAGGTATATGGGTGGGTTGGGATTTAAGTCAAGGATATTGGCTACTATTATTTTCCCAAATAAACAATGACCTACGGGTCGGGTATTTCCAAGTGTATGTATACTAATATGTATTTCAAACTTGGGGGAAAGACTATACGTATATGTATCATCCTATGTTTGGGTCTTATACTTGAAACGCTAGTTATTCTATATTTAGCCTGCTACTCGCTCGGTACTTGTACTGACCCCTTCGGGGGGCCCCACCATTTTCAGGTTGAAGCTAGGGCTTGCTACCTGCACCTTTCTACGGGTGACATCAAATCAAGGAAGACGTGGTTCGTGCTTCCTCATTTCATTTCAAATTACCAAACACTGCTCATGGATATTTTTATTTGTCATAAACTATTCTTTTGGGGCTTGCATGCCCATGTTATTGGCCGGTTGTGGCTTATGACTACCGTTGAATACTTCCGCTATTCATTGGTTTAAATGTGATGTTGTTATGTATGTTTACTGCTGAGTATGGATGGATTATTTCTCTCGAACGCCTTGTGTAATCAAGTGAGGTTGACTCGCGGGTGACGTCACTTGATTATACGGCGGTTGTACACGCGCTTGGATTGCGGTCTGGGGCGTGACAATTAAGTGGTATCAGAGCCATCTCAGTTCTAAACTATATAATCAACCTCTCACATGAGATTTTATGAAAGAGTTTTTACCGAAAACCATGAGCATTGGATTTTGACGTTATGGGACTATTGGAGCCTAAGTTGCAAGGCCTCTAATTGTTAAGACGGTACCCTTAACAATTGGTATGGTGGTGACTTAGACCAATACGTGTCTGTAACGTTCTTCCGTCAATTGACATTTATAGGAGTCTAATGACTCATCCATATTTCTTTCAGAAATGGAGGGCAGGCGAATGCGGACCAGGAACAATCCGAGGGGGCAGGCGCCGGTAACATCCCAAAGGGGAAGCCGGGCTGCATCTCGGGGTTCAAGAGGAGGCCGTGGAGGCCGTGGAAGCCGTGGAGGTCATCAAGCTCAAACTGTGAGTGATGGCCATGTAAGCTCGGTGTATGAAACCAACACCGAGGACTATGACTCTACGTATGTTCCTGAGACAGAGCATGAGGAGACCCCATATGATGGGGGTGACACATACACCGATGAGGACAATGATGAAAGTGATGCCCGCTTCGCCCAAATGGGTGAATTACTTGAGTGGTATCAAAAGGAGAAACAGAGGAGAGACCTTAGGCGCCAAGCGAGGCGTGGCTCTCGTGGTGGTTCGGGTCAAGGGAGCCGGGGAGCTTCCGTGGCCACCCCAGCGGCGTCACAAGGGGGGCGTGAAGGAGGTTTTGTTGTGAGAATCTCCAAGTACCTCAAGGAGGCTAGGGCCTTGGGGTGTAGGTCCTTTGACGGCACCGGTGACATTACCGTTGCCGCCGATTGGATTAAGAAGGTGAAGGATGCATCAAGAGACATGCAAATCACACCGGACGTGAAGTTGACTGTCGCTTCACGGCTACTTGAAGGGATAGCCTCTACGTGGTGGGAGAGTGTGGAAGGGAAGTACCATGGGGAAATAACATGGGCGGACTTTGAGCTAGAGTTCTATGCTCAATACTACTCCGAGTACGAGGTGAATGTGAAACGGAGAGAGTACACTAACCTCAAACAGAAAGATGGCGGCACGGTTAAGCAGCTGGAACAAGAGTTTAGAACCTTGGCGAGGTTCTTGCCAGAGTACGCGGTTGATGAAAACCGCATGACGGAGCACTTCTGGGATGCATTACTCTTGGACATCCGCGACCGAGCTACATACTCTCGCCACATGTCATTTAGCGAGGTGGTGGAACAGGGTCTTCTTGGAGAGGCCCAGTGGAATGAGAGGAAAGCAAGGGACGCCGAAGAGGCGAAGAAGAGGAAGTGGAATAATTCGGGACCACCCGATCATTCTCGAAGAAACAACCACGGGGGTGGTGGTGGTGGCGGTGGTTCATTCAAGGCGCCGGCCCCACCGGCAAAGAAGAACAGGGATGCGAGGTGGCACGGACCTAGGCCACAGAACTCGGGGCCACCTAGATGTCCCAATTGCTCAAAACAACACTTTGGGAAGTGCAATGAACCACCGAGGTGTTTTAAGTGCGGGAATGCGGGCCATATGAAGGCCAATTGCCCTCAATTGATGCAAGAGAGTGCCTCGGGAGCCGGGGGAGGGACCATGACGGGAAGGAACCGTGCGGGACCGTCAAACGGCGGCACGGGAAGAGGCGGCGCATCCACAAGTCATGCCGCATCCGTCAACCAAGGTGGGACCCAAGCCCGAGTGTACGCGATGACCGAGGCGGATGCGAGAGCAAACCCGGACTCCGTTGCAGGTAATACACGTATTCCCATGTATTTCTAGGCTTATCTGGGTCATACGAGTCATTGGGTTTGGGTGCGGGCCACCCCGGGGTCAAACCCCGCGAATTCGGAGCGAAATGGGCTAAAAACAACTACGCGCGGTCGCGCGTACCTACAGACGCACGACCGTGCGTGCGAGGCAGCAGCCTTTGGCCATTTTCCGCGCAGACGCACGCCGTGCGTGCAGGTAAGGCACGCCGTGCGTGAGACGCACGATCGTGCGTGACCAGCTACGCACGATCGTGCGTAGCCGGCAGTGGCGGGTTTCGATTTTCTCACTCACGCACGACCGTGCGTGCCACCCAGGCACGCCGTGCGTGGACCCCCAATAGCCGAAACTTGATTTTTTCGCCCCGTTCTTCTACGTTTGGACCCCCGTTTGATTCCAAACATTAGTATGAGCCTAATAACCTCCTAAAAATGTGTAAAAACATTAGAAAATGTATCTTACATGGTGTATAAATGTAGGAACATTAAAGATCAATGGTAGGTGTGCGAGGATCCTCATTGATACCGGGGCACAACGCTCATTTGTGAGTGAGGCGTTCGCCGAGGGCCTTGACGTGCCATTGACACCTATGACTCAAACGTTGCTAGTCTCCACACCGTTAGGAGACGACGTGGAGAGAAATCATTACTATCCGTCGTGTGAGGTAGAAGTGACGGGTCAACCTTTGACTTGTGATTTCGTACCTCTAAGCATGTTGGAGTTCGATGCAATCCTAGGAATGGATTGGCTCGAGAAACACCATGCTCGAGTAGATTGCTACACCAAGGTGTTAGAGCTCGAGGATGATCAAGGAAACACGCTATGTTTCGAGGGAGATCGGGGGAAATCTAATGCTTGTATAATATCCGTGATGAGAGCACGGAAGATGATGAGGAAGGGATGCCACGCATACCTTGCCTACGTGGTGGACGATACCAAGAAGGAAGTCGACATCAAAGATGTACGGGTCGTGTGCAAATACCCGGATGTCTTTCCCAAAGACCTACCGGGGCTTCCACCCGATAGAGAGATAGAGTTTGTAATTGAAGTAGAGCCGGGAACCAAACCCATTTCGATTCCTCCTTATCGAATGGCGCCGGCCGAACTCCAAGAGTTGAAGGTCCAACTACAAGAATTACTGGACAACGGGTTCATCAGACCCAGTCATTCACCGTGGGGGGCACCCGTACTCTTCGTGAAGAAGAAAGATGGTACACTAAGAATGTGTATCGACTACCGACAGTTGAACAAGGTCACCATCAAGAACAGGTATCCCTTACCGAGGATTGATGACTTGTTCGATCAACTTCGAGGGGCAATAGTGTTCTCGAAGATTGACTTGAGGTCGGGGTATCATCAGTTGAAGATCAAGGAGAGTGACATACCTAAGAGTGCATTTCGCACTAGATATGGTCATTACGAATTCCTTGTGATGTCGTTTGGTTTAACCAACGCACCGGCGGCATTCATGGACTTGATGAACCGTGTATTTAGTGAATACTTAGATCAATTTGTGATAGTATTCATTGACGACATCTTAATATACTCCAAGAGTGAAGAGGAGCACGAACATCACTTGGGGCTTATACTTGATCGACTAAGGGAAAAACAACTCTTTGCCAAGTTCTCTAAATGCGAATTTTGGCTCAAGGAGATTGGTTTTCTCGGTCACGTCATATCCGGTTCGGGCGTTGCTGTGGATAACGCCAAGATAAAGGCTATCATGGATTGGGAGAGACCCAAGAATGTGAAAGAGATACGTAGTTTCCTTGGCTTAGCAGGATACTATCGTAAATTTGTTGAAAAATTTTCTGTATTGGCGTCTCCATTAACGAAGCTCACAAAGAAAGGGGCCAAGTTCATATGGGACGACAAGTGTGAGAAAGGGTTCCTTGAACTGAAGAAACGACTTACCGAAGCACCAGTCCTTGCCCTACCCATACAAGGGATAGGGTATGATATATACAGTGATGCTAGCATCCAAGGGCTTGGATGTGTACTGATGCAAAACGGTAAAGTGATTGCCTATGCTTCAAGGCAATTGAGAAAGCACGAGGTGAACTACCCTACCCATGACCTAGAATTGGGGGCGGTAGTGTTTGCACTGAAAATCTGGAGGCATTATCTCTACGGGGAGACATGTCACATTTTTACAGACCATAAGAGCTTGAAGTACGTATTCACTCAGAAAGAGTTGAATATGAGACAGAGGAGATGGATGGAGTTGATCAAGGACTATGACTTGATCATCGATTACCATCCAGGAAAGGCCAACGTCGTGGCCGACGCACTGAGCAGAAAGAGTACGTCGGGGACGCTACTCACATGCCTACAGGCATTGAGAGCGCGCGTGGAGGTGTCCACGTGCGGGGCTCTCATTGCTCGATTCGAGGTTAGGCCCACCCTATTGGGCGAGATTAGTCGAAGTCAGGCCATTGATGAGGAATGTCAGAAGATCCGTGAAAGGATCCTTGAAGGACCCGTTGAGAACTTCCGAGTACGTGATGACGGTCTATTATTGTTTAAGGATCGTGTATGCATACCAAAGAATGAAGACCTCCGGAAGTCCATACTTGAGGAGGCTCATTCTTCAGCTTATGCTATGCATCCAGGAGGTACTAAGATGTACCGAGATTTGAAGGAGAGTTACTGGTGGTCAGGTATGAAGAGAGACATCGCAGAATATGTGAGTCGGTGCCTTACTTGCCAGCAAGTTAAGGCAGAGCATCAGCACCCGGCAGGGCTTTTGCAACCACTTACCATCCCGGAGTGGAAGTGGGAGCACGTGACCATGGACTTCGTGGTGGGGCTACCACGAACAGTGAACAACTATGACGCAGTATGGGTAGTGGTTGATAGGCTCACCAAGAGTGCACACTTTTTGCCTATCAACATTACTTATCCTCTTGAAAGATTGGCCAAGCTATACACGGAGGAGATTGTGAGACTACATGGAGTCCCAATATCCATTGTCTCGGATAGGGATCCACGATTCACATCCCGATTTTGGCCAAAATTTCAAGCATCGTTGGGTACTAAACTGAAGTTTAGCACAGCTTTTCACCCACAGACGGATGGACAGTCCGAACGAGTGATACAGATTTTGGAAGACATGCTTAGGGCATGTGCGCTGGAGTTCCAAGGAAGTTGGGACAAGCATTTGGCCCTAGTGGAGTTTGCTTATAACAACAGTTATCAAGCAAGTATCGGCATGCCCCCATATGAGGCATTGTATGGGAGGAAATGCAGAACACCATTGTGTTGGGACGAGGTTGGCGAGGCCAAACTCGAAGGTATAGAACTGGTTGAAATCACCAAAGCTAAGGTGAGGATCATTCAGGATAGACTGAGGGCTGCTCAGGACCGACAGAAGAGTTATGCTGACAAACGGCGGAGACCGTTGGAGTTCGAGGTCGGTGATGAGGTTTTTCTAAGGATTTCTCCTTGGAAGGGCATCATCCGATTTGTATCGAGGGGGAAGCTTAATCCCCGATACATTGGTCCATTTGAGATCCTTGAAAGGATTGGGGCCGTGGCTTACCGCCTCAAGTTGACACCAGAGCTTGAGAAGATACATGACGTGTTTCATGTATCGATGCTCAAGAAGTACATACGGGACCCATCTCATATTCTTGAGAAACCACCGGTAGAGATCCGTGAGGATTTGCAATATGCGGTAGAGCCGGTGAAGATAGTAGGTCAACAAGTGAAGAAGCTTAGGAATAAGGAGATTCCTATGGTAAAGGTTCTTTGGAGGAGTGATCGAGTCGAAGAAGAAACTTGGGAGACCGAAGTCTCAATGAGGGAGCAATACCCGTTTCTTTTCGATTAGACACACGGATTTCGGGGACGAAATCCCAAATAAGGGGGGGTGAACTTGTAACACCGTCCCCAAATGTATTTACTTTCAAGTAAATGATGTAATAAACCTTATGGAATGATTTACGAATTTACGAAGTTGTAAATTTTTATTATTCTTTCGCGTGAATAGTAAAGTGCACGTGGGGCCCACACCGGGAGCGGGGGCCGCCCGACATTCCCGAGACCATATACTTTATTCATCTTGGTCTAGATAATAAATATATAGTGGTGAATATTTCATTTGGACCATGGAAAGGCCCAGAGTTGACCGATTCGTCAAAAGAAGCCCAAATTACCGGTACTGGTAATTTAACAGATATCAGCCCGAAAATGAATTTCGGAGACTTCTAAATCAATGTTTTGGAATATATATTATTTCAAAAGGCCATTACGATTGAGAACACGTAATATACTTTATTTTACCCGATAAAATAAAATATGATTAAAACAGTCCGAAAAATACAACTTTCGGGACCGATTGTACACCTCGGGGCATAAAGGGATGACCTCCCACATGAGTGGGGGCCATCCCACGTTTTTTTTCAGCTTAAATGTGACTCTTGGTGGCTGGCAAGACAAAGGAAGGGTGAGGAGTCTATCAAAGGTACAATGGGGGGGGTCCATTCTCACATTATTTTGAGAGAAAAGCCAAAGAGGCTATCTCTTCACTCACCCACCCCATAATTTCGACCAAGGCACACCAAGAGAACAAGGAGACCTCTGCAAACTCATCTTCCAAAGCCAAAATTCGAGCTCAAGCCATAGGGTTCCAAGAAGGAAGATTAAAGAAGGAAAAAGCTAGGAAAAAGTGTGAAAATTAAGGTAATGACCTTATTATAACTTTTCCTTTATTTTTCTTCTATCATATGAGGTATATATCATATGAAGGACCCTTAGTATGATTCCACATGTTATAAGTATGGATTTATGGGTTGGAAAATGGTTCTAAGTCCAAGAACGGACTTAGAAGCCAAAACGACCGGTTCACCGGAAAATAACCTTTTTTGAGGTTATTTGTATTAACATGGGTTTTATGATTATAAAACCTTGTTAGGAACTTGTGAAAGGTATTTCAAGTGATTTCACAAAGTTGGAAAAGTCGCCGGAGTTGTCGCCGGAGTTGGCCAAAAGTCGTCGGAGTTCCACCGGAGTTCAACCAAGAAGGGTAGAACTTCATAACGCTAGTTCAAGGTGAGTGGACGGCTTAATATCTTATAACTTTTGGGTTAATTATAAGATTACCTAAATAAATGTTATAAGTGTTCATAATGATGTTTAAAAGATATTTAAACACGTGATTAGCCAACATAGTTAAGTTTGTATGAAAAGAATTAATTGTTTATACATGAAACATGATATGCACAAGAATTAATGATGATATGAGAAATAATATGAAATGCATATTTGTTGGGAATGTCAAAGAAGCACAAATGATTATTATTAACTTAATTATATGATGATTAAGTTGACATGTACAAGGCTTGAATGGCGGTCAACGACAACGTTGACCGATGGACAATGGATTAATTAATGTCGGTTGATATTAGTTAATTGTACATTTATATAATTGCATGGATTTGCATGAATTGTGATACATAAGTCTTATGTATTGAATTAGTTATGAGTGACTAAATATGATATAGACCCTATCTAGTGTGATATGTGGTAAGTCATAGGTCGGGTGGAGTACCCAAGGATCGGGCGGTTATCCTCAAAACTCGGTTATAGGGTGGAGAACCCAAGGATCGGGCGGTTATCCTCAAAACTCGGTTATATAGGGTGGAGTACCCAAGGATCGGGCGGTTATCCTCAAAACTCGGTTATATAGGGTGGAGTACCCAAGGATCGGGCGGTTATCCTCAAAACTCAATTATAGGGTGGAGTACCCAAGGATCGGGCGTGTATCCTCAAAACTCATAGATTACATTTAATGATCTAGGACCGGGCGGTGTCCTCATGATAATTTATTTGAACAAGGAGGAGTTCTATACACTCATAGGTATATGGGTGGGTTGGGATTTAAGTCAAGGATATTGGCTACTATTATTTTCCCAAATAAACAATGACCTACGGGTCGGGTATTTCCAAGTGTATGTATACTAATATGTATTTCAAACTTGGGGGAAAGACTATACGTATATGTATCATCCTATGTTTGGGTCTTATACTTGAAACGCTAGTTATTCTATATTTAGCCTGCTACTCGCTCGGTACTTGTACTGACCCCTTCGGGGGGCCCCACCATTTTCAGGTTGAAGCTAGGGCTTGCTACCTGCACCTTTCTACGGGTGACATCAAATCAAGGAAGACGTGGTTCGTGCTTCCTCATTTCATTTCAAATTACCAAACACTGCTCATGGATATTTTTATTTGTCATAAACTATTCTTTTGGGGCTTGCATGCCCATGTTATTGGCCGGTTGTGGCTTATGACTACCGTTGAATACTTCCGCTATTCATTGGTTTAAATGTGATGTTGTTATGTATGTTTACTGCTGAGTATGGATGGATTATTTCTCTCGAACGCCTTGTGTAATCAAGTGAGGTTGACTCGCGGGTGACGTCACTTGATTATACGGCGGTTGTACACGCGCTTGGATTGCGGTCTGGGGCGTGACAGATTTCGTTCTGTTTGTGCCCGTTAATCCATAAGTTAGGCTTGTTTGTTTCAGTGCAAATGAACCGCGACTCAAAAAGGCGAAGAGCAGATATGTATATGGCGTAAAAAAAAAAGCAGGAGAGCAAAATGACCGACACATGCTGCTGGGTTTTTAGAAGGTTAATTTGGTAAATTTGAGTGCCAAACATGTCTCTTTTTTGGAAGATTAATTAAGTGCATGTTTGGCAGACATAAGTCTGTTCATTCTAGCTTTTACAATGTTTAAAAAGTCTATAAAAGCTTTTAGTTGTATGTTTGGAATGACAAAATTTAAGAGTTTTTCAAAAAATATAAGATCTTTTTGAGATGCTATGGGGAGTAGCATCTGAGAAAAGACCGTGACTTTTAGTATTAATTAAGTGCATGTTTGGCAGACATAAGTCTCTTCATTCTAGCTTTTATAATGTTTAAAAAGTCTATAAAAGCTTTTAGTTGTATGTTTGGAATGACAAAATTTAAGGGCCTGTTTACTAACAGAGATATTTTCCTGTTTTCTACTTGTGTTTTTCGTTCTCCAATTTTCTGTTTTTATTTTTCAGTTTTTCTATCTCCAATTTTCTGTTTCTATTTTTTAGTTTTCCATTTTCAAATTTGAAAACATGTTCATCAATTTTTTTCACACAGTTCTCCAATTCCACACCCTTGACCCCTACCTCTACCCTTACCACGATCTTACACTCTACCCATACTCCACCACAACCCTTCATACCCACCCATACCTACTCGTAGGGGTCGGGTAGGGAAGTTATGGGTGGGGGTGGGGTGGTAAGGTCTAGGGGTAGGGGTTGGGTGGGGGTAGTGGGTGGGTTAGGGTCGTGGTTAAGGTTAAGGGTGGGGTAGTGGGTAGGGTTGGGGTAAGGTAGGGGTAGGGTAGGGAGTTGGGATAGGATGACGGTAGGGTGGAGTCGGGACTAGGTTGGGGTAGGGTGGGGGGGGTAGGATGGCGGTAAGGGTGAGGGTAGTGGGTGGGGTTTGGGGTTGGGGTAAGGTAGGGGTAGGGTAGGGAGTTGGGATAGGATGGCGGTAGGGTGGGGTCGGGACCAGGGTGGGGCTGGGGTAGGGAAGGGGTAGGATGGCGGTGGGGGTAGGATGGCGGTAAGGGTGGGGGTAGTGGGTATGGTTTGGGATTGGGGTAAGGTAGGGGTAGGGTAGGGAGTTGGGATAGGATGACGGTAGGGTGGAGTCGGGACTAGGGTGGGGTTGGGGTAGGGTGGGGGGGTAGGATGGCGGTAAGGGTGAGGGTAGTGGGTGGGGTTTGGGGTTGGGGTAAGGTAGGGGTAGGGTAGGGAGTTGGGATAGGATGGCGGGTAGGGTGGGGTCGGGACCAGGGTGGGGCTGGGGTAGGGAAGGGGTAGGATGGCGGTGGGGGTAGGATGGCGGTAAGGGTGGGGGGTAGTGGGTATGGTTTGGGGTTGGGGTAAGGTAGGGGTAGGGTAGGGAGTTGGGATAGGATGGCGGTAGGGTGGGCCCGGGATCCGGGTGGGGCCGAGGTAGGGTAGGGTGGGGGTGGGGGTAGGATGGCGGTGGGGTGGGGCCGAGGTTGGAGGCATGTGGTAAGGGATAAGGTAGGGGTAAGTGGTAATATACAAGGGGTGGGGGTAGGGTGGGTCGGGGTGGGGTCGAGGTGGTAGGGGGGTGGCGGTAGGGTAGGGTGGATCGAGGTGGGGTCGAGGTGGTAGGGGGGTGGCGGTAGGGTAGGGTGGATCGGGGTGGGGCCGAGGTCGGGGCATGTGGTGGGGGGTGGGGTAAGGTCATTATAGGGAAAAATGGGTACGCGGGTTGGGGGGTTGGGTGGGTAGGGTAGGGTAGGGTAGGGGTAAGGGGTAAGGGGTAAGGTACGAGGATGGAGGTACCGGAATGGAATCGACATCGGAGCGGGACCGGACCCACCACTATGTGTAAGTATGCAAATTCATTGCAAAGGCACTGTAACAGCTGCGTTTTCCAAATATGGAAAACTAGTAAAAGTCACTTCTCCAAATCATTAAGGAAAAGAGAGACATGTTTCATTTTTTCCGTTTTTGAAAACGATTTGGTAAACGTGTTTTTATTTTTTCCTTTCTCCAGTTTTCCAGGAATTTCTTTGGTAAACACGTTTCCTGTTTTTCTGTTTTCCAGTTTTCCAGTTTTCTGGAAAACTGGAAAATATTTCTGTTAGTAAACAGGCTCTAAGAGTTTTTCAAAAAATAAAAGATCTTTTTGAGATGCTACGGGGAGTAGCATCTGAGAAAAGACCGTGACTTTTAGTATTAATTTGTCCTAACAGCTTTATACTAAACGGAACTAAATCAAACAGTCGACTTTTTACCAAACAGCTACCACCTTTTCTTTTTAAGTTTTTTTCAGTTATTAAAAGCCAACAGTTACTAAAAAGATCACAAAAGTATCTTTTCAGCTAGTCGTGGCAATCATACTCTAAAAATCACTCCTATTTTAGTCATTAGCTCTTCCGCCAGTTCCGCATGTAAAATACCTATCACTATTCCTACTACTAATTACTAATATATTTTTTAGGCCTTTAAAATTGTTTTAAAAAACAGTTAACAATTTCCTTATGAGATTGTTGACATGTAGATATCTTTCAATTATATTGTGTTGATATTCCATAGGGAATACGCATATATATAGAGGCGGAGGAGAAAGTTGTGCAACCCTAGTCCTAAACAAACTTAACCACATGTTCAGCCAATCGTTAAATCAATTAAAAGTGTAGGACTATATGAACTCTATTACTAGTACATAATCCCTAACCATCATTAGAATATTAATTATTACTAAATATATTCTAACATTCTCTCGCTTGATCATGTGATTCTTGATGGATTGATGAAAACTTAAATTGTGCAATATTCATCAAAACAAACTCCCAAGAAAAACTTAACTGAATTTCAAATTGAATGGATTATGGCGGTTGCACATCATTTACGGTGACATGCTTTCTTCCATGTATCACAAGCAATTCTAATTCATTTTTATCTCTTGAAAAATTGAAACTCTCAATTCTTAAATTTGAGAAATACTTAAATTCTTAGCACTTGTTATCATTACAAATAATTTCTCACTTCGTCCCATTTAAATGTTCTCATCTACTATTCTCCGGTCAACGTGAATTGTTTTTAATCTTTTACTTCATATATCTAATTTTTATCAAACTTATTTTTTTCTTAATCAGGTATTATAAAACTTTTAATGTAGTTTCTGAATATGTATATTTTAAAAGAAATTTTATTAATGACAAAGATCGGTTAACCTTATGGTCAGTCAAACATTGTAAATCGCGTGAGAACCTTTAAGTGGGACGGAGGGAGTATAAGTGATCACGATCAAATAGATAACAAGTATAACAAAAACATATATAGCCTTTATTGAATCAAATGAGGGTCAAAACATTAATATAAAACATATGACCAAGACTTTATCGACAACACTCATACTAATTACATGATTGTTAAAAACTTTGGGTGACGACCTTTTAGGATGTTTTCTTTTGGACTGTTTTCAATCCTAGACCAGACCAGATTTGACCAGACCAGACTTCCGTATTTATAAAATACACAGAAACTAGACGTTTACTAGACCAGACCAGACCAGATCAGACCAGATCTGACCAGATCAGACCAGATCAGACTTCCGTATTTATAAAATACAAAGAAACTAGACGTTTACTAGACCAGACCAGACCAGACCAGACTAGATCAGACCAGACCAGCAAATTTCAGTCCAAAAGAAAACATCCTTAGTCAGCGGATCCACAAGCCTTTGTTCGATGTAAATATGCTCAATTAACACTTTATATTTTTGAACTTCTCCCTTTACTGACAAGTGCTCCAAATCTATGTGTTTAACACCTATTTACGGGTTACTTGGAGGGGCACATTTACACATAAACAATAGAGAAAAATTCATAAATATGACGAAAAAACATGAATGAAGTTCATAAATAGGACTATCAATGTTTTATTCCTAAAATAGGATTCAATCATTCCTATTTTTGGAAATACTAATCAAATTGTACTTTTAATATGACCAAATAAGTCTTATTTAGGGAATAAAATATGTTTAGTCCAATTTTTAATTTTTTGTGTATATTTTTGTCCTATATTGATCCATTTCTATAAATTAGTATATACGGAGTATATATTATGAATATATTAATAAACAAAACAACAAAATTTAATAAATAAGTAATTAAGTAATACCTTAATTTTAATTAGAAACTGATGCGTTAAATGAAGAAGAACAATATAATAGTTAGGAATGTTAATTATCTGAAGAAAAATTATATTATTGGATGAAGAGCCACCGATGCTCCGCCGTTTAGAAGTCGGTAGTACCATAGGGATGATTTATCTAAGTGTCAAACAACCTTGAAAAACTACAACTGAAGTTATATAAGTATAATTGTAAAATTTATATTGTACAGAGTAACAAACTAATTCAATCAACATATACACAATACAATTAACAATTTATTAAATGAAATTATGAGAATAGAATTGCAAAAAATTAAACAATTTATAGATTAGAAGATTAAAAATTTAAGCGGCTTACGGAGAGGCGGAGAATTGGAGATTAAGTCGGAAGTCGCCAACTCACCGTCCGTCATCGTTGGTTGCTCCATCGGGCGTGCAGGAGTGCAGGACACTTGAGTCTTGGGCTACCACTGTACTATGGTTGGCTGGCTAGGTAGATGTAAGATGGGCTGAAAGCCAGACATGGCCGAGGTGTACAACAGTACAACACAAGGAAATAAGAGAGTAAGGGCTGATGGGTGGGTTTACAGTATGGGCTACAGGGGCTCAACTATATACAGACTATATTAATATTTAATATATGTATACATCCAAGTCCAAAAGTGGCTCTGCACAGATTCTCCGTGAAGAAGACTACTGTGGAATTATCACAATAAATTTTGAGCGACTTAGCTATACTGTCGATAATCCCAAGTCCTGAAAAAAGCCCCGCACCCACAAACCCACAAAAGTGGCTCTGCCTGCATAGTGCAAATAACACTAATTGTTTGTTAACTACTCTTCCAAGATACTGCTCCTTCAGCTAATATGAACAGATAACCATGTGTTGCCTTTCTACTATCGACACGTCAATAAAATCTGAATATCCAATCACCTTATGATGATCAGATCTCTTAAATGTATATAACGGATTCTTTCATGATGATAAATATAACTCATTCTAGAAAATATCAATGAGGTCAGGGGATATCCACCACCGATTAAACTCAAATAACGTTTCTTTGTGATACTTATGACATTTCGAATTCCTTTTAAAAGAATATTATCATCACTCATTCAATTCAATTTTTAAGGGTTGAATAAAGATTACACAATGATTTCATATAGACATTAAAGTACATTCATTATACCATTCTAATGATGATGTATGTTGTGCTATTCTTGATCTATTTTTAGCTAACAGGTTCTTGAGAATGTAATTTTTGGTAGACTATATACGCTTGTCAAAGTAAAATAATGCGCGTATTGCAGTTATACAGGGAATTCCGTATCCCTATTAACTTTTCAACCAACTCGAACATTCAAATCAGAATCGAGTTTCCCAAGATCTTTTATCTCAAGTATGACTTGCAAGTGTGTGAAGGTCCATCATACTTTATTATGAGTACTTGTTACGTATGTATCTTTGACATTCAACAATACTTAAAAATTTGAAACTTGTTGCCTTCATAAATGCACAAACAAAATGTATTATTTTGTATCCCTTCTCAATCTAGTGTTCCCTTAAAGGATATGTCATTTTTATCTGAATTGATGAGTGTGATTCATAAAATTGTATTATTTGATTAAGAATAACTTGATTTGAGATAGTAAAAGCATAAGAAATGCTTCATAAGCATGTCTAAAATGAGATTGTATTCAAGCATTTAGTAATCAGAATGTAATTGCATCTCCATAAATCCAAAATTACTTTGGAGGCCTCTGGGAGACTAAGTAGCTGAAAATTTTGTATTTCATAATAGCGAAGTATAACATCTCATATTTGAGTCCAGAGTGTTGTGAGAATAATCAAGACCTCATTTTCTTTTACTCCAGGGGGCGTCTGGGGAGGGGGGCTGGTCGGACTTGGAGTAATTGGGGCTAAAACTCACTCCATTGAGTTTCGAACCTAGGACCTCCCGTAAGGGAGAATGAGTTGGCGACCAGCAGGGCTGGACGGCTTCCTCATTATCTCATTACGTAATCAAGACCTCATTATCTCATTACGCTTGGTAGATTAGCACTCATTCTTTGTCAAATATTCTCTTTTACTTGTACTCATGATTTAGGTCAATATTCTCATTACTTTCAAATTGCGATAATGTATGTTTCGATATCATCGTGCTCTAAACTTTTTTTTAACCCGGAAGGCAAACCACCCACTAGTGGGGCAAATGCCGGGAATCATTTGCCATTGTTTTATTAACGATAGAAAAGATTACAAAAGAGAGGGGGGTCAGACCAAAACCCCCCTTCAGAGGCATTCCTCTGAAAGAAAAAACACAATTAAAAGTCAAAGAATTTTTTTTTTTTTTTTTTTTTTTTGGGGGGGGGGGGGGGCTAGACCTGACCCAAAATAAAAACAAAATAACAAATATAAACGTAAAGTAGGAATACCAAAAAGATCAGCAAAGTAGGCGGATTTGACCCGATTGGGTAAAATTCCAACCTGGTCAAATCTAACACATAGGGCCGTGTCAATATTAAGTGTCGCTAAGTAGTGGGCCGACCCATTACCTTCTCTAGGCACGTGTCCGAAAGAATAGCCTCTGTCCGTTGCTTTCCTTCTGAAATCCCGAAGCCCATAGGCACAGTTGTCTGTTTCGTCCATAAGCATTGTTAACAAATGAGCAACATCTGTTTTAACCAGGGTGTCAACAAATCCATCAGCCATTGCCATATAGTGTAAACACATGGTTATCTGTTCATATTAGCTAAATATACCATTAGTATAAGTGTAAGGTTCATCGCTCAACTCATACACTCTCATGAGAGAAAATTAGTTGATGACGAGTATATGGATTTGTGCCTTCTTTACCCTCTATTACTTGGGGTGGATAATTAATTAAACCATGTGGGTTCCTTGTAGCCTTGTAGGCATTATCTTAGGATTATGACCAGAGAGAGACATGGCAGAAGAATTTAATGTACTTATATCTAATTACACTTGGTATTTAATTCCATTTGACCTGACTAAAAATGTGGTTGGCTTGAAATGGATTTATAAAACAAAATTTTGTTCTGATGACTCAATTGAGTGGTATAGGGCGCGTTTAGTGACTGAGGGCTTTAATCAACAAGCAGGTATGAATATTTCTGAAACATTTAGTCCTGTTATTAAACTCACTACTGTTTAGGTGGTACTTACTATAGTTGTCTAGTTGGGCTATACGTCAGTTAAATATTAAAAATATTTTTTACATGGTAATCTCGTAGAAGTCTATATGTGTCAGCCACCTGGCTTTCTTCACCTGCAATATATGTCCCATTTTTGTCGTCTCAAGCTAGCTATATATGATTTAAAACCAGCAACTCGTGTTTGGTTTTATCGCTTTAACATCTTTTTTCTTAGTCTTGGTTTCTAGGCCAGCCACTTTGACAACTCCTTATTTATTTTTCATCGTGACAGGCATATCATTTAGCTTCTTCTATATGTAGATGATATTCTTGTCACAAGTAATTCATCTGCATTTGAGTCTTGCTTTGTTTCTCTTCTCAGTCGTTCTTTTTCCATGAAAGATTTAGCTGATCTAAATTTTCATCTTGAGTTCAAGCTGTAGGTACTTGATAAGTCCGTATTTAGACACGCATTTGATGCGTGATTGGGATCGGCTTTTGATGGTTTTCCTAGATTTAAGGTGTTGCAAGTCTCAATTTTAGCTCAGGTTATGTTTACGAGGCGTTGGTTCGAGTTTTGTGCCATTTGGAGTCAAAATCAGGGAATTTGAGCCCGGGTAACGACGTTTGAGGAGAAATCGGGACGAGTTGAGAAGCATTCGAGAGTGATTTGAGAGCTTTAAAAGTCATTGGGAAGTTTACAATGAAGATTTGATGACAAAAGAGCTCTAGGATTGGCTACGGGATCAAAAGAAGACGAATAGAGCTGGAAAACGGCGATCAGGATGACCTTCTGTCAATCGTTCAATCATATCTCTTTGTAGAAGCATACAAAGGACACAATTCAAGTTGCATATGAAGTCCAACTTCAAGGGCTACAAATCATATGAAGACATCATTCCGAGAATCGGAGAGGAGCAAGGTGAAAACAGACGATGAAGTCAGATGATCTTTGTTGCGATTTCAGAATGACATCTTCCACCATTTTATTCATATATCTTTATTGGATGATTCAAATCTAATTCGACAAGTTGGGGTGGATAGAGGACTTCATTATCTACAACTTTCATGAATGACGTTTTGTCAACTTTCATTAGTTACATTAATATTGACTATCACTTTGACAATTAGAGAACACGTCACTTCGAGAATTTATTTTTCAGAGATTTCATTTCTTGCTTACCAATCTGCGTGTGTTCTCCCCTGCACAAATTGAAGGGTGGGGGTGTAATACTATATAATTATTTCATAAGAATTATTTAGACATTAGTATAAAACCCTGTGTAATTTGAACTTCATTGTTTTTAGGGATAAGAAAATCAATAAGAAACCAGCTCCTATCAGTGATAATCCAATCGACTACCCATCATTTCCTATTTGATAAAGGCCCCCGAGATCAAGTCTGTTTTGCGAAGTCCCCGTCAAAGCCCCCTACAACATTGCTGACCGAACACAAAATTACTAGTGACCTATTTTTTCCTTGATGCAAGCAACCTCGTGGGAAACACCTGAAATCCAGTGAAAGCAATATCTGGCTCAAGAAGGCAGTCTAACAGCTCTTGATCAGTAACTAATCTTACTGTTGGTGTGACGTTAAGATCATCATCTCTCGACCTATTTGGTTGATAAGTTTTGAGTCTGCCCTCAATTAGATAGGGGAGCACTCTCCTCACGTGGCATGAAAATCCTAAGAGGTTTCTCTTTTAATATTAACTTCGATAATGATGATTCCACTAGTATCCCCTACAACACATGTTTCTGGGTATACGTAGGACTATCAATATGATAATAAACCTAAACCCCTAATTATTATTCTCACAAATATGACTTTACACTATATTTGAACGAAAACTGTTTTTGCATTACATATTCGGAAGCGTATATCGTACAACCGACTGACTTGCACCGTACAGCTGGTGACAATTTTGTAATTTTGGTGAAAACCACGTCTTCTCTTAAATGGTCATTAATGTACTTTTAGTGAGCATCAAATCTAAAAAAAAGTGAGCATCAAATCTATTCTACTGAGTATTGAAAATCTAATAGTGAACATCGTGATATCGGCCATTCTCTAATTAATTTATTGTGAGTCCTATTATTTTTTTCTTTGCACAAACTTTAATCTCATAATTGTTTATATTATTTTCAGGCTTCTTAAATTTTGCGAAGTTATTAGAGATAAAGAAAGTAACACAATGGATGTCGAGCTCAAGGTTGCATGGCATAAAAAGGAACTAAGGAAGGTTCATTTCTAGAATAAATATTGTGTACAATTGAGAATAGTTATATATTCATATAACAATCTTAACATAATCAATCTTCCAATAAAATAATGAATTGGGTCGGGTAGTGGAAGACGAGCATGAATTAGATCACTGGATCAAGATGCATCTGGCGGGCGATCCATCTAAGGTTACCAACCTCAGTGGTAGACAGTGAATTGTGTATATTCCAGGAACTACTTCGTCCAGTTTTAAATCCTCCACTGGAATTATATCCTGTGTCCATTCAAACAAATAACTTACACTGATTGTAATGATAATAAGATTTGGACTTAAAAACTTACATTAGTTTATAAGGGATTGCTCCAAATATGAGTAAGACATAGACAAAATGTACAAATTAAATGCGAGTAATTATGTTTATTTTCTAAAATAGTGTTTAGTTGATTATGTTAATAACATAAAATTTCATAAATTAGGAATGAATATGTCTGTATTTTAAAATAATAGTTTATGATAATCATATTGGAACATTTGGTATGCTTCACCCATATATAGGGAATTTTCTTATAATTTATAGATGCAAACTGAACTACCAACCTTTTGATTTAGGAACGTCAAATGGACCCCCTTAAGTTCATCTGTTACTCCAGTAGCGATGGATAGGTAATCTATGCCTGCAATTTCACAACATTAGATGGAAGCTTTTATTAGTAAATAGCATCCAAGTATCAGGTCGGACTTGAAAATTAAACATAAAATAATAAGTGTATGTTTGACAAAACTGACCGAAAATTATGTTTTTTGAGTTTTTTTAGTAAATGATAGTACATGAAAAGTCATTATTAAAAAGAAAATGTTAATTATAGCCGTTGTTAAAAATCTACTGTTTGATGTTATTTGGTATAATAAACTCTCAAGTGTTGAAAGCCTACCCAAAATGATCTTAAAAAATTGAATAGCTAGAAGTAGTTGTGTCAAACATATACAACTATGAGCTTTTAGAGATTTTTCAATCATTGTAGAAATTATGTATCAATGACTTATGTCCGCACAACATGCACTAAATCCATACATAAGATATAAGATAATGTGTCACTTACGTTTAACTAATTTAACAAAACTTCAATACGATATTAGAGTGAAGTTTTATTGGACTTACCAACAAGTTTGATATCAGTGTTCTCGACTAAATATTTGGCTCCGTCCGTGGTGAAGCCGGTGTAAGAGGGTTCAAATGCAGATTGATTCATTAGATTCCGGTCTGTGTTGAGTGTTTTGAATATCACACGCTTCACTCCTCTTGGTATATTCAAAGATTTCATAACCTCGGCTGCATATCATCATATACATTAACTAAACTCTTCACCATTGTCCATTAATGACGTCATTACTAATAATCAAATATTGGGATGTTTATACTTCGATTAAAATTTGCTGGTCTTGTCTGGCCGACCTGTTGAAGTATTGTATGGACTGTTTAGTTTTGGTCTAGTCTGATATGGGACTGAAAACAATCCAAGTAAAAACATCATTATACTTCGTACTGTACTTATGATGTTTTCTTTTGGACTGAAATTTGTTGGTTTGGTCTAATCTGGTCCGGCCTGATAAATGTCTGATTTCTGTGTATTTTATATTTATGGAAGTCTGGTCTAGTCTGATCTGGTCTGGGACTAAAAACAGTCCAAAATAAAAACATGAAAAATGAAAAAACATTGACCAAAATATTAGATCTAACGTAGATCTTCTCATGGATATTATTATTATTAATCTACTTCTCATAACACAATCAATGTCAAAAAAAATTAATAAAACATCATGTACATGTACCAGTGATATTTTTGTCCCGGGGAGTGTCAACCACCAAAACTGGGCCTGCACATTGCCAACCATTAGCCTGTCTTGATAAGCACTAGACAATACAACTCTATCATATGGTCAACCATAAGGTTTGACTTAATTTTCCCAGAAAATAAGACATTTTCGTGTTAAGCCAACAAAAGGCTCTAATCACTATTGTCTATCATCATCATTTTCATTGACCCCAATGATGCAAAAGGCTTCCACCTACGGTAGGATAAAGGGGGGTCGGATGTACGCAATCTTACCCTTTTACTAAAGTATAGAGAGATTGTTTCCGAATGACCCATAGTGAAAATCATGTTCAAAATTGCATGGACTGACTGCTGCTTCATAACAAAGAAGCGTAGACAGTTTAGTAAGCTATTTTGCTTTATTCCATCATATTATCAAGCCAAAGAATAATGAATCTTTAGCTCCATTGCAAATGATGGAAAGTCTTATCATATTGCATAAATGAAAGAAAACAATCTACATAATTTATGCGTCTCATCACATCCTATAAACATGGAACACCAAGAGTTATATACTTATATTAATTATATAGCACAAATAAAAGAATTATACGTAGTATTAAACTAACTTGAGGAATATGTCGAGTTTTTATTGAGAATAGAAAAATGTGGAGTTGGAGTACATTTTAAAAAAGAAATTACATTACAAGGGGTCTTGCATTGATTAATAATCTAATAAATAGTTTGTCTTGGTTAACGCAAAAAAAAACCATATGCCATATACGAAACATACAGTATACACAATAGCCCCTTGTGATTTTAAAAAAAATGCATCAAACCCCGTCCGTAGTCATGTACAAAACACTTACGAATAACAAACATAGTGAACGTGAAAGTACATATTTTGAAATTATGATTAAATATTGAACATAAATATTCAGGATATAAATTATACGGAATATAAAAATATTAAACTCTTTGTTTAATGTGACAATCTAAATTTGTTGGATGTGACGAGAGGCGTAGGTATAGAGGTAAGGAGTTTACCATTTTCGCCCACCTCAAATTTGAAAAAAAAATCTTTGGGGGTGTTTGGCAATTGACTGTTGGCTGATTCTGTTGACTAATTGGTAACAGCAAATTCTTTTGGCTGTTTTGATTAGCTGATAATATTAGCTAGTATTATCTCGTTTTTTGAAAAGACTTTTTGGCCTTTTTTAATTGGCCTTTTTAATAACAGCAGATTCTATTGAGCCCACATTATCTGTTTGGAATATTAAGTTCGATTCGTTGAAAAGGCCAATTAAACTCCCAATTAACCAAACACCCCCTAAAAAGTGATCAAATCAGCCAAAAAAATAGTTGATAGCCTCCTAACAACCACCCCCTTTGTATTGATGAAAAAATTGTCATAGCAAATTTGGTTACCATTTAAAGTGCGTAGATCAAGAGAATCGACATCATATCCTTCATCCATTAGCGTCTGGTTGAAGTGGCCGGGAGCGTCGCAATGGGTGCCGGAGTGGGTGGAAAGGGTGAAGGTTGCGGAGTTTGAAAAAGCTTTTTCATCAGTTTTCATGTTGGACACAGATTTGAAGAACGGCTGAAGCCCATGAGGGCCGCCATAGAAGTATGGCATTCCGACGACATACTTGTGACTGATGTCAATTATTTTCTTATTCGAGAACACGTTCTCCTCCGATTGAAGGTAGGCTAGCTGGTCGGCGGTGATCACATCTGCCCACGCGCCGCTGCACGCCCATGCCAGCGCCACCAGCACCAAACAGGGCACAACCTTTTGGTTCTTCATCGTTGTGGCCGGCCCGGGATCGAACTAGTATTATTTATTTTACCACCACAAACTCCCAGATTATTTCTTATTAATGTATCTAGGAGCTTGTTTTTGAATTGGACTTAAGGGGCTTGTTTATAATGCTTATTGGTGGTGGATTCAAACGGACGGCCGTCAATTGAGGAGGTTGGTGGTCAAACAATGGCCTGTGTCCACTCCTCTGTTTACGTATCTTGTGAGGAGGAGAAGGATTCAGTTTCAGTCACACTCGAAACCAAATCAGGACCAGTTATATTTTGAGATGTTAACTTTTGGTTTTATTATTTTGGGATATAGCATCCGTTAAAACTTAAATGTATATTATGTTGATTTTAAATGTAAATTAACAAACATTGTTCCTATAATACGAAGTATTAAACTATTAATGCATGGATACTGGATAGTGCCTATAGCATGTAAATTGAGCCGAGAGTCCTGAGACAATAGGGGTACATTTCACAATTAAGATTGTATTTTCACTATGGGTCATTCGGAAACAATCTCTCTATACTGGATAGTGAATATTGTGACTCGTTTCTAGCCGAATATACAAAATTTGCTAAATTTAATACAAAAAGTATAGGTAAGATTTCAGTGTGGATAACAAATGAGTGACTACAAGGACAATCTTTTTAATTGTGTGGGGTTGATCTGATTTGTTGAGATTAGTTAATATACTTCGTATTTATGTTTATTATGTGAGGTTGATCTAGTTTGTTGAGATTAGTTAATGTATTTGAGTTTAATCTAATCTAATTTCGTTTGAAATCAAAATAATTTTAATATGTCTTCCTTTTAAAGTTATAATTATAATAATAATCCTGATCTAAAGTCTAAACTAGTTAAAATCCTGATCTAAAGTGTTCAATATCAGTTTTGTCAGATTTGACCTAGCTTAATCTATTTTAAACTGTTTTATTTCGCATTTATGGGTTAAAAACCCTTACACGGATTTCCCACTTATTTATAAGTGTTGTATATGATAAAGTCAAGCTACTAGTTAGGTGACACTAGGGATGGACTCGAAGCCCGGCCTGATGGCTATAAGGGCAGGCTTCGGGCTCATTTTTTTAGGACCCACCCGGCCAGTCCCGGTCTCCCGGGCCCGATTGCACTATTTTTTTAATTTATTGCTCAAACCCGGCTCGGTCCCGACCCGAAACTATTTAGGCCCTGCCCGGTTCCGGTACAAACCCGGGCCAGTACCACGCCTGAAATTTTTAGCCCCGGTCCCGCCCAGTCCCGGCCCGATCTCGGTCCATCCATACGTGACATGACTTAATGAGATTTGGGGCTCAAGTCAAGTGTCTCTACTCAAATATCTAGTGACGCTTGTCCACTTCCTTGGCAAAAGGTCCTATGAAGCTTCTGCAATGGTGTGATGCGATATTCATATTGGACTACCCTTTCTTCAAAGCCAAACAGCAGGTTTCGGACCGATGAAGCCGAGGGTCAGTTTTGAAGGCCAGCACAAGGCTGATGCATATTGACCGCTATCAAAACCCAATAGTTTTCACATTTTGGGACAGAAGAAACTTCGAAATACTCCGTAATATAAGCCATGTTGCAATTATATACGTAGTATGTTCACAAGGATATAGTATGACATTTATTCGGGTACACGAATGGCCATTTCAGGAAAAATGGTTAGAGAAGCATTACTTAACAACAAGTTTCATCATATTTCAAACACTTCCTTTTATTAGGGCCGACCCGAGAAGTAGAGGCTGCTGGCCATTGAATGAGTGGCATCGCTCAAGTATAAGGACATGGCCCCATTCGCCCGTAATCACTATAGTAAGACTTCAATACAAATCCTCTAACCAGAAACACATTGTTATTTGCTATGTAGTAATATATAGAGTTAAAGACATGTATAAGGCCAATGAACCATATATATTTAGTTGATGAGGATGCATCTGATGGGAGATCCTTCAGCACCCACCAACCTCAAGGGTAAGCAATGAACCGTATATATCCCAACCTTAACTCCTTCCAAATTCAGACCTTCCACTAGTACAATTTCCTACACCATTTGAAATTAACAATGTTATTTACTCTGTATCCAATTACTGTGAATGAAAATTTGGAAATTATAAATATTATAAATATCAATATTATCAATATTATAATACAACCAAAAGTCAAAACCTGTGAATGAAAATTTGAAAATAAAAATTTCCCAATATTTTTTTGCTTGTGATTATGCTTTTTGTAGTCCTTCACGTGCTACTACTCTTGTGCATCTCATTGTTTACCAATACTGACTTGGCCATATATGCTCTGATTTTTTTAATATTGAAAAAGAACGGGATGGCGTACATTTTAGCAAAAGTTGCTGAAGAGCATTGGTTTAAAATTTTTATACATCTTTTTTCATTGATAAAATATAATCTGAACATCTTTTATCAAATTTCAATCATTTCTGCAAAACTTGGGAAATTTCAACATATCCAACCGCTACAGTCATGTTTAGCTCTACCAAATAGACTCTACACCGCTAACTACCAGTGAGATTCATTGGAATAAAGAAACTCTCAAGGAACTAAGTGTTTGTCCAAACGTTACAGCGTCCAACAAACTTACCCTGCTCTTAAGAAATACTAGATGCGCAGTGATGATTTCATCAAATGCAGCAACAGATAAGTAATCTATTCCTGCAATTCAATAAAAAAGACATGTATAACTTTTATGTATAACAAAAGTAATGATGATGACAATTTAATACGTAGTAGTAATAAAATAATAGTAATAATAATAAAAACAGTAAAACATATAATTACATGTGTGAAGGCCCAATGGCCCATGATAGTACCATAAATTTAGTGTGGTTTAGTGACTCATTTACTGGCTAATCAGACTTATAATCCAGATTTTTCCAAATACGAAGTATTTTGTTTTATGCGCTGAATAGTGTAAATGTGTAATAATCAAATTAAATAAAGTTGAAGGTATTTTTCTCTTTCACTTTGATGATAACAAATTAAGGACAAGTAAGCTTTTCTTTTAGTGTAAAATTCTTTCTCCTTTATTAACAAAATATATGTTTTGAACATACGTATTTCACAATTCAGTCAATTCGATCACAACCACAACTTAAAAAATTCAGGCTTTCAATTTTAGTCTTACAAACAGGCTCTTAGTTTACTCACCAACAAGTTTAATATCAGTGTTGTCCACAAGCCACTGAGCACCATCCTTCATAAATCCCACATAGCTGGTGTCAAACCCCTTCTTCAACATCAGATGCCTGAAATTATATCCAACTTTGTGTCACTCTCTTTCATAGTTGAATCTTTGTAAAATTATGGAATGCATGTATATCACTCTCAAATATCTACCTGTCTGTGTTCAGTGTTCTAAATAGCACTCTCTTCACCCCCTTGGGTATATTTAGCCCCCTCATCACTTCAGCTAATTGAAACAAATGGATTTCATAAAGATCTCAGCTTTAAAGGTTGGCAACTATACTTCTTTGGTTTCATACATAACCCAATTCCCTAACTCAACCACGCCAACATTTATACCAATATATGGAGGGATCAATTTAGGATTCTTCAAGTGTCGATGCTAACACTTGTTTGGGAGAAAAAACCAGAGGTGTTAAGAAGTGTTAGTAATGGTTAGGAAGTGTTAATAATAACCTTCCCAACACCTCAATTGTCCATTTTTTTAACACCCCGATTTGGAGTGTTTTGAGGTGTTGGACAATTATTACCCTTCTCATTTGCCCGGAAAACATAAAATGCTTCGACATTTCACTTCGAATGTCTTTCCCACGGGTCTGATGTTTTGTTTTTTCATCTCTTCTCTTTACTCTTTCTTTACTCTTTCTTTAACACTTCCATTATTAACACTTCATTCATTTGACTCTCCCAAACAAGGTAAAATTATGTCTAACACTTACACTTCCCTTCCCTTCCGAGCCCTTACTAACACTTACTAACACTTCCATTACTAACACTTTCAAACACTCCATCCAAACAGGCCCTTAATTCAACCACAATACTAAAAAAACTCCCATACATGGCATGCACATATTTCTAGGAATTAAAGCATACCAGTTATGTTCTTGTCCCTGGGAACATCCACCACCAATGCAGGGCCTGCCAAAACACACAAAAAATAAACAAATATAGAGATGCTAATATACTACTCTGCTCCACTAAATTTTGACAACTTCCATTTTTAAGCCATCCCAAAATACTTTTTCTTTTTCTAAGGAACAAGTTTGTGGTTGACGTTATTTTATTCTCCTCATATAAACCTTCACCCCACAATTTTTACTTCAACTTTGGCCATGTTTCATAGGACATAGGGAGTATTAAATACTCTCACCGCCTCCATCCTTCAAAGAAGTGTTTAGTTTGATCTTCACCGTCAAGAAAAACTTTACCAAATTAAGAAAAAGTCAAAAAACTTTATTAAAGAACATCCCAAAAAGTATATTGGGATAGAGAAAGGAGCATCGAGTATTAGCATATTGGGTCTAACTCATTTTAAGAGAATAATCAAAAGATAGGGTTTCATGGACAAGTTATTCCACGACCTAAAATTATAAAGTTACCTAGGCAGACCTGCATCACTCGTGTGACAAAAGAACTAATAATCAATAATTGCCATAAAAACAAACACTAATATCCTATTCCCTATTAAATTGCACCAAAGAAGCCTAAAATGATTCTCAAAAGGTGAGATTAATCCATTCTTTACACTCCAATAACAAGCTACACTAAAGCTCAAAACTAAATAAAGAAGAGAAGAATACACTAAACAGAGGATTATAAAGAAATTCTCCAGAATTTAGTACCATTGAGGACTCTAAGGTCAAGAGTGTCAACATCGAACCCTTGATCGAAGTAATTATCATACATATGCCCAGGAGCATCAACATGAGTACCGGCATGAACACACAACCTCAACTCCGACAGGTTGTAATCAGAACCGTTCTTCATGCTCATCAGCAAGCTGAGATACTGTCCGATGCCGTCATCGGAGTTTCCGGAGGGCGTGTTTGGAGTGAAGCGATGAGTGATATCGATTATCTCTCCACCTTCAGACACTTCCTTCCTCAGTGGATTGCTGGATCCGAGACAAAGACCCGGCGATTCATCACCATATCCGAGTGGATATGCAGCATCATCGGTAGATGCCGTAGCAACATATAGCAGGCTGAGTAGCAGTAGCTTAGCTGAAGTCTTCATACTTCTTACCAGAAGCTAATGGCCGTCAAAGCTTTTCCAGCTAAAACTCTTTTGGCGAGCTGTTATCTCGTTGGGATAAATAATAATCTGAGCTCTTTGGCCAATACCACTAATTTTGTTGGAAAATGATGTTTGTACTCAATTTTATACACACTTTTATACCCAGTCATATTTGTGAAGTTATTTTTTTTGTCTGTGAATTCCTTCACAAACAAAATATGTCTGTGAAGGAATTCAAAGACATATTTTGTCTGTGAACCAGTTTCACAGAGGTGGTTATAAAGTGGGTACAGAGTAGTGAGTACAACAAGCATTGTTATTTTCTCATTTGTCCCTTTAAGTAAAGAATTGGTGATTCATTAATTCTTTTTTCACTACACACTTTTTACACTTTATTAATCTGCTTGTTGGTGATGTCCATCAAACTTCACAAAGTTTCATGCCCTGTAGCTAAAAGAGAGAAAAATTACCGTAGCCTAAGGGGCAGTAGAAAAATACAAAGTACTAATCCATGCTCATAGCTATCGCTCATATATGTATTTCAACTTAAATATGAAAAATTGTCGTAAATAGTAGCAAATTGTTGTAAAATGAAGAAGATGAAGAACAGATTTAAAGGATAGATATATTAATAATAATCTCTAAATTATACTTCTTCTTAATATAAAAATTTCTGAATTTCTGAGTTTCTGAATGAATTTACAAGGCTTCATCAAGCTCATATTTATAGTGTTTGAGCTTGATGATTAGTCACTTAAATGATGAGTCTACAGATTTGGTGGCAATAACAAATTGAGCCACCTATTCTAACTAGGTTACAAGGATCATTACAAAGATCAGGAACATCTTGGTGTCCTAGTGACAAGGATGAATAATTCACACTTGTCAATTTGATGGTTTTACAACACTCCCCCTTGAATGTTCATCCTTGAATATGTATTTGTTATCAAAATTAAGGGGTAAAAATGACGACATATAATGTCGTTGCATTTGGATGTACTGTCTCATTAAAAACCTTATCAAGAAAAACCCAGTGGGATAAAAACCTGATGAAGGAAAAAAAAGTGCAGTGCATTCAAATACTCCCCCTGAAATTAACATAAATTATTAAGACGGCGCATGCCGATTTTGTGTACAAGTTCCATGAACTTCTTCGGGGGTAATGATTTGGTGAAGAGATCGGCTGGATTTTCACTGGATCTGATTTGTTGAATGTTGATCGTCCCTTCTTTCTCAAGGTCATGAGTAGAGAAAAACTTTGGAGATATGTGCTTCGTTCTATCTCCTTTGATGTAGCCTTCTTTAATTTGAGCTATGCATGCGGTGTTGTCTTCGTAGATCACAGTCGGGTGACAACTAATAGCTTTCATACCACATTCATCTTGGATGTGTTGAATCATAGATCGCAGCACACACATTCTCTCCCGGTTTCATATAGTGCAATTATTTCAGAATGATTTGATGATGTAGCTGTCAATGTCTGCTTCATAGATCTCCATGAGATTGCGGTGTTACCATAAGTAAATACGTACCCGGTTTGTGATTTCGCCTTTTGAGGATCTGTTAAGTATCCAGCGTCTGCATATCCGATTAAAGAAGCTTTTGCATCTTTGTGGTAGAATAGACCGAGATCAATTGTACCACGGAGATAACGGAATATGTGCTTGATCCCGTTCCAATGACGTCTTGTTGGACATGAGCTGTACCTAGCTAATAAATTTACAGAAGATGCAATATCTGATCTAGTATTATTAGCTAAATACTTCGGGACCGAGTATATCTTCGTCGTCTACTCGTGGACGGAATGGATCATCGTGTATGTTGAGAGATCGAATGACCATTGGTGAAGTCAAAGGATGAGCTTTGTCCATATAAAATCTCTTCAACACTTTCTCAGTGTAATTCGATTGGTGGATGAAAATTCCATTCTTCAAATGCTCAATTTGAAGTCCGAGACAAAATTTGGTTCTCCCGAGATCTTTCATTTCAAATTCTTTCATAAGATATTTTGCAGTATTTTCAATTTCATCGGGAGTTCCAATAATATTTAAGTCATCAACATATACTGCAATTATGGCGAATCCCGAATTTGATCGCCGAATGAAAACACATGGGCTAATCGGATCATTCTTATATCCTTCTTTGAGAAGGTATTCACTGAGACGATTATACCACATTCGTCCAGATTGTTTTAATCCATACAATGACTTTTGTAATTTAATGGAAAACATGTCTCGAGGTTTCGAGCTATAAGCTTCAGGCATTTTAAATCCACCAGGAACTTTCATATAAATGTCTGTATCAAGTGAACCGTATAAATATGCGGTCTCTACATCCATTAGGCGCATTTGCAGCCTTTCAAAAACAGACATGCCAATGAGAAACCTTAATGTAGTTGCATCCACTACTGGAAAATAGGTTTCTTCATAATCAATTCCCGGCATTTGAGAAAAACCTTGGGCAACAAGTCGGGCTTTATATCTAACAATTTCATTCTTTTCATTGCGTTTACGCACAAATACCCATTTAAAACCCACAGGTTTTATGCCTTTTGGCATAGGGACTATCGGTCCAAAAACATCACGTTTTTCAAGTGATTTTAATTCAGCCTGAATAGCTTCATTCCATTTTGGCCAATCGTGTCGTTTCCGACATTCTTCTATTGATATTGGCTCATTGTCATAGTTTTCATTCATAACATTTGTGGCAACGGCATAGACAAATATCTCATTAATATCAATATCTTTTTTATTCCATTGCATTCTAGTAGAAACCTAATTTATTGAAATTTCATAATTATCAACGTTTCTATCAGTATCTGGAATATCTTCCTAATTTAAGGAAGTTGAATCATTATTTGAGATGTTTGTTTTGTCAATATCATTTTCTATGCCAGTATTTTCAAATTGTTCATTTTCTTGTTCAGAAAGATGAACATCTTTGGCATCACAGATCAATTCCTGCCTTTTAGTCTTTCTTGGTTTTATGTCTTTTGATCCAAGTGGCCTACCACGCTTTTTGCGTATAGAAGAATCATTTGCGAGAGATTTTTCAGAATTCTCCGCTGGAATTTCAATTCTGGCAGGGGCATTCATAGCAGGAATATGTGACTTTGTCACTTTCTTTGTGTCTGTGAATGTATCAGGCAACTGATTTGCAACATTTTGTAAATGAATTATCTTTTGCACCTCTTGCTCACATATATTTGATCTAGAATCAAGGTGTGATAATCCTGTTGCATTCCATGTTATTTCTTTCGTACTTGTGTCCGATTTATTAGTTTCTCCCCCTAAGGTTGGGAATACTGTCTCATTGAAATGACAGTCAGCGAACCGTGCAGTGAATAAGTCACCAGTCATCGGTTCAAGATATTTGATTATTGAGGGAGATTCAAATCCAACGTCAACTCATTGTCATTGTTTTCATTCATAACATTTGTGGCAACGGCATAGACAAATATCCCATTAATATCAATATCTTTTCGATTCCATTGCATTCCAGTAGAAACGTAGTTTATTGAAATTTCATAATTATCAATGTTTCTATCATTATCTGGAACATCTTCCTCATTTAAGGAAGTTGGATCATCATTTGAGATGTTTGTTTTGTCAATATCATTTTCTATGCCAGTATTTTCAAATTGTTCATGTTCTTGTTCAGAAGGATTAACATCTTTGGCATCACAGGTCGATTTCTGCCTTTTAATTTTTCTTGGTTTTATGTCTTTTGATCCAAGTGGCCTACCACGCTTTTTGCGTATAGAAGAATCATTTGCAAGAGATTTTTCAAAATTCTCAATTCAATTACTTTGAGAATTCAATCGAACAGTTGAGTTTGTTTTTATATTACCCGTGACTACTTATGGAGATAAGATGAATTCATACCGGCTCAGTGCATGTGTACAACCCACTGCAGGAAGCTTTTATCAGTTTTTGTTTTACTTTTAATGATGTTTAATTTTATCCGGAGTACCGAAGTATGGAGTAACAACACCCGTGACTATAATGAAAACCCAAAAAATATGTGCAGTCTTTAGTTGGTGAGTACACGTGTACGAAGTATATAATCGGCAACTTTTGTTTTATACGTCCACATGTCTTCATAAGGTGCTTAATGCTGTAAGTACATCACCGCTCAATTTTATTTCTACCCAGAGCAATTTTCATTCATTATTACTCTCTTTGTTAGCTTTCATATTTTCTTCTATATTATTCATCATTCTTGGTTTTGCTTACGAATTATTATCTATCTCCCTCAAGTGGTAAATTATTCTGTATTTCTTTTCCTTTGAAGATACGCACACATATATGTAACTAGTTCGTTTATGGGGCAGAAGATCCTGTTTTGAGTAAGTAATAATTTCCATACTCTTTACAAGAAATTATATTTATGATAATAATATGACCGTACTTATTTTCCCACAAACTCTCTTCTTTTTCTTCTACCAATAGTAGTACGTATATATCTATATTTTCTTTCATTTTTACCGAGAGGTCCAAGAGTATATCAATATCAATGAAAGAAAATAATTATTCAGGTATGCATGTTATCTATATGTATTTTCTATCCGTATATGATAGGAGATTTCATTTAAAACTCAGAATAATTTTCTGATTTAAATATTAAAAGAAGTTAATAGGTATTCATGTTAATACCTGCAGGAGATGATGATTTCTTGAAGAGTTTTGAGCAGATTCGTGCTGATAACGTGTTGTAAAATGAAGAAGATGAAGAACAGATTTAAAGGATAGATGTATTAATAATAATCTCTAAACTATACTTCTTCTTAATATAAAGATTTCTGAATTTCTGAGTTTCTGAATGAATTTACAAGGCTTCATCAAGCTCCTATTTATAGTGTTTGAGCTTGATGTTTAGTCACCTAAATGATGAGTCTACAGATTTGGTGGCAATAACAAATTGAGCCACCTATTCTAACTAGGTTACAAGGATCATTACAAAGATCAGGAACATCTTGGTGTCCTAGTGACAAGGATGAATAATTCACACTTGTCAATTTGATGGTTTTACAACACAAACATGTTTATCTATCCTACTGTCATCTTTTTATCTTAAAAGCTTATAATCCCCAATGGGGGTAAGGGCATTT